CCACCTGGACCAAACGGAAATAAAGGACCAGCTGGTCCAACAGGAGACATGGGACCACCAGGTCCTCCGGGACCCCCTGGACCTCAAATGCCACCAGGCCCACCGGGACCAGCTGGTCCACGTGGACCTTCAGGACCTCCAGGATCAAATGGACCACTTGGACCGCCAGGAGATGTTGGTCCAGGTGGACCAAGTGGAGGACCTGGTCTACCAGGAAGTAAAGGAAATCCAGCTGGACCCCAAGGTCCTTTAGGGCCACCTGGACCAAACGGAAATAATGGACCACCTGGTCCAACAGGAGACATGGGACCACCAGGTCCTCCCGGACCCCCTGGACCTTCATTGCCACCAGGTCCACCGGGACCAGCTGGTCCACGTGGACCTTCAGGACCTCCAGGATCAAATGGACCACTTGGGCCGCCAGGAGATGTTGGTCCAGGTGGACCAAGTGGAGGACCAGGTATTCCAGGAAGTAAAGGAAATCCCGCAGGACCTCAGGGCCCCTTGGGACCCCCAGGACCGAATGGACCAAAAGGACACCCAGGACCAGTAGGAGATATGGGACCACCAGGTCCTCCGGGACCCCCTGGACCTCAAATGCCACCAGGTCCGCCTGGACCAGCTGGTCCACTCGGACCATCAGGACCCCCAGGACCAAACGGACTGCTTGGACCACCAGGTGAAGCTGGACCACATGGCGTACCAGGAGGGCCAGGAATACCAGGATGTAAAGGTAATCCAGCTGGATGTCAAGGACCAAATGGGCCAACAGGACCAAACGGACCAACAGGACAACCAGGACCAGTAGGAGATATGGGACCTCCCGGTCCACCTGGACCACCGGGACCGGCAATGCCGCCAGGCCCTCCAGGTCCACCAGGTCCAACAGGACCTAATGGACCCCCAGGACCTAATGGACCACTTGGACCACCTGGTGAAGCCGGACCACATGGTGGACCAGGAGGTGCAGGAATTGGAGGATGTAAGGGCAACCCAGCTGGATGTCAAGGACCAATCGGACCAACTGGACCGAATGGACAAATGGGAGCAGTTGGTCCTACAGGAGATATTGGCCCACCCGGTCCTCCTGGACCACCTGGACCTCAAATGCCTCCAGGCCCACCTGGATCGCCAGGTCCAACAGGACCTTCAGGACCCCCCGGACCAAATGGGCTAATTGGACAGACAGGAGAAGCTGGTCCATCCGGACCCCCTGGTAGCGCAGGAGAATGTCCTCATATTTGTGAGACAGCTTGCTTGTCAACTTGTCCAGCGACCTGTTGCAAAAAGTTCAAGATTCATAAGAAGTCCAAGATTAGTGGCAAGAGAGAAAACAAGAAGAAGGCTAAAATAGCACGACTAAGGTTTATTCACAAATTTAAACACTAAAAGACTCTTATTGTTTAACTGAGATACAGTTAGAAAATAATGAACTCCTATATAAACTTTTCATTTGCAGTCTCATGTCACATTTGCTTACACGTTTTAGAAAAAATAGTAGAAAAAAGATGAAAACAAAAGAGCCTCATTCAAACAAATGCGTTCACGTGAAAAAAACAAAGAAATAACGATCAGCCTAAAATACCAATAGGTAGTATAGTGAGTATCTTCTGTTTTACTGGCCTGTTTTTATTCTTTTTGTTAGTTTCAATTCCTTTTATCGTTCAAGTTAATTGAGTACAAGAATTATTGAAACAAACATTTCCTAGTGATTGATTGATGATTGAAAAATTGATGGTAGGTTTATTTTCGAACCAAACTAAGAGTTTATACAATTATAAAAATGATACTCTATAATTAAAAGAAACTAGAAAGATTGTTGAAATGTGGTCTATTTATTTTAGGGCCATCTCCCTTGCATTGCAGTGTTTAATCCCAGCCCTTACAGTGGAATTAGAGCGAGGTGTTAGGCATCGTTTGCTTGTATATAGCATAACGTTACAGCTAACGTCTTATAGACCCGCTAACATAAACAAATGTCCTCACAAAGAAACAAGACAACGAAGTCCAAAAAGAAAGAAATCGGCAGAGAAAAGAAATTGCAGATAGGTCACATGGGGTGTTTTGGGTATTTGAGTGAAAAAAGCGTAGGAAGTCTTTACATCAGTTAATTCGCCTATATGAACTATATTAATGAGAAGCCTCAAATAAAGGTGCTGGGGTTGGGGTCACCTGTAATCAACCAATCGGAGGGCTTATTATATGGTAGACATATCAAAAATAAAGCGTGTTTGTCGGGTAAACACGCATCTCAAAAATAAATAAATCATAATAATTAATACAAGCTTTCTCTGGTCCTGATGGTATAGTTGGTAACGCATCGGGCTTATCAATACAAAAGCTGTCAGTTCAACTGCCAGATTCTTTTTATTCTTTAGAAATAATTGTTTAATCAGATTTCCCATAGCAATATTACTACGGACAGTATGTACATAGTAGCATTTTCTAGTACTACTTTTTCGTGGGATTGCCAGCTCACTAGATACACTGTGCTGACGAGGCCCAATACAGGCCGAAACAGCTGTCCACAGTTTCTAGTTGAGCTGGCTCATTTTTTACGCGACTTGAAGTTGTGAAAGGCTTGTATGGCACTCTTCTTCAGTCGTTTCATCTAAGGCTCGTAATTTACTTATTACGCATGTTCTTATTTGATATCCGAGCCCATCCCACACGGCGCACTGCCACATCTATCTAGTATTACTACGGACAGTATGTATTGGGCGGAAAAGTAATGTCTAAAAATCAGGTCTCTGCCCGAAACTCAATATTTACTAAAATTCATATTTTCTCCGTAAAGTTTGCTAAAGTCCTTAAAAAAAGACATAATAAGATAGTGAAAATTTGCAAATTAAAATCATTTTTTAATATCATCGCTATGAAAGTGTATTTAACAAAACAAAAAACCGGTACCATGAGCAATAACTTGAACGTGACAAAATCTTTTTTTGTTTGATATATTTTATGCCACAGAAATAATTTAATGCCATAACAATATTTATAATTTTTTTCGCCTGTTTTATATAGCATCCATGTCATTATACATCCTATTATATATTTTCATTATCATGAGTAAACTTATATCCAAAACTATTTTTCTTTTAAATAAGAAAAGGCAATTTACATAAAAATCGATATTAATCGATTTTGAGTGTAAATTTTGATGACCGTAAAAGTCGACGAGTAGACGGCATTTCTGGATTCAGCCAATCAGTGTTAGCCGTGTTTCGAGATCTCGCGTCATCAGCCTGACGAAGTTCAGATTCTCGAGGAAAATATCACTTGGTGTCAGATATTAGAGTCATATTTTTCTGTCACGCCACGTAAAAGAGTGATTATGTTCCAGCGGATTGCACAGTTACAAAATTCTCTTTTAAACATTATATTTCATGTCTTGGATTTTGACATCTTCTACCTAGCGTCATTTCTACGGGATCTCCATGCACGCATTTGAAAATCAAAATCTGTGACAGCTCGTAAAATGAGTCGTAAGCAAGTTGTGCTATGTCAATGAACTTGGACCAGTGAAGAAATCTGGCTCGAAAACCTAACACCAATTCACTTTGGTAATAAATAGAATGAGCAAATCAATTTTGACACGAATTGTTGAATCTCGTCGTCACTTTTTCAATGGTTCATGTGATATGTCGTAAAATGAGTCGTAAGCAGGTTGTGCTATGTCCATGAACTTGGACCAGTGAAGATAATTCATGGTATAAGGTTCGAGGAGTCAACGTAATCGATTTTCATTAGACAAAACACATCAGAAGACACAACAAAAATGATAATGATGATAATATAATAATACTAATAATAAAATTTTTCAATATTTATCATGTCTCAAATCCAAATCCGATAAATAAGTGTGTGAATTTTCTTTCGAGGTTAGATCTTGTTACCCGGAAAGATGAAGCCAAGCAAAACCTATTTTAAGTACGCCACCGGTAGACAAAACAATGGCCACCGGCACCCTGACGTAATACCTTGACTAGTCAAAACCCATTATAATTAATGATTTTACATCAAGTGACTATATAGGACCTTGCCTGTGAGAAAAAATCATCATTGTTCCTAGAGAGCCCAAGTTGACCGAGGTAAGAAAATAATTTATTGACCATGTATYATAGCTTTCAACCATTTTCTTTTCTTTCATATAGTGCTCTCGTTATATGGTTCTTTTGTTTCCTTTTGCATTTCTTATTTTATTTTACTAACATAATTCTTTCCGTTTTTGGCGAATGTATTTCTCGAATTTTTGATAATGCTTCAATAAAAGAAAAGTAAAATTGATTGAATGCGATGGAAGCATTTACTTTTCATAATCTTGTCATATTTAATTTTTTTCTTATATTTTGAAAAACATTATCCAATAATCATAGAATTTTTCCATTAAATTAGGGATGAGCTCAAATTATATTTTCTTATTTTCCCTTAGTTTAACATAATTTTTGTCATTTTTGTATCTATTTACACGTCATGTTTTGTTTTCTAGGTGACGATGAAATTTCAAATAGTTATTTGTATATTCCTTGCCTTGGCAGTTCTTGCCTCTGCCAAGTCTCTCAAATCAAAGGCCAAGTCAGGTATGGAGTTTTCTCTGCATTAATGAAGTAAAACCATAGCAGGAAATCATTTCCCAAGCATTCTTCGTATAAGAATTTGAAAATGATGCTGTTTTTATTTATTTCTCTATTCTTTTAATTTATTAACGATCTTTAGGAAGCTGTTTTAAATGCAGGCTCGTAAAAGTCCTTTTTTAAATGGTCTAAATAGTTTATTTCGAAAACCAAAAAAAATATTTGTGACCCTTGTTCTCTTTATCTTGAGAACTCTAGGGCAGATATTGCATTTTTTTTACATAGAGCTTTGGTCATTTTACGTAAATGAATCTGAAAATAGCCCTGAATAATTAAGGTTATTTGAATCTTTATTTGAATCTTAAAGCTCTTTATTTGAAAACTTCTAAGGCTTACAATAATTAGTCAAAAACTCAAAATGATTGTAATAAAAATTCCTATATGTATGCATATGACAAAACTCAAGGAAGCTGAAATAGCTAAATATGAAAAAATAGACATCTATAAATAAAACAATTCTTAAAACTCTCGGTTTTAACTTTGGGTAAGACAAAAGGATGTCCCCTAGTTCCTTAGTAGCCTTCTCTTTTCAGGTGGTAAGAAGCCCATTTGCTTGAGGGATTGATGTTATTATAATATGACATTATATATAGGCAGATCCAATACTATAATTTAATTACACGAGTTAATGTTTGATATTGTTGTATTGCAATTAAAATGCAGTGGGAGAAGTGGGGCATGAAACCTTTACAACCCTGCCCTTGAATTCGCCTATACTAACATTTTGTTCATCATATGAAAGTTAACACATCCTGAATATCTTAGGGTCAAAGAGACAATGCTGTCCACCTCCATGTTGCCCACCACCACCACCACCATGCTGTTCCTCACCACAGCCCGCTCAACCAGGACCCCCAGGACCATCCGGATGCACTGGACCCCCAGGATCACCAGGATGTCCAGGACCTAAGGGATGTACTGGACCATGTGGACCACCAGGGTTACCAGGCCCACCAGGACCCCCAGCACGCCCAGGACCCCCAGGACCACCTGGTTGCATGGGACCCCCAGGAGTACCAGGATGTCCTGGACTTAAAGGATGCCCAGGACCATGCGGACCCCCAGGACCTCCAGGACCACCAGGACCACCAGGAGCCCCTGCTCCCCCACCACCACCACCATGCTGTCCTCCTCCTGCTGCTCCATGCCCTGCACCTTGCCCTGCACCCTGCCCACCATGCTAAATTAGAGATACTAAGTATCACTGAATTCTAACAATAAATTCTATATATTCTCGCAAATGCATTTATGTGTTTATTTGCCTCTTCTGGGTAGTGGCTCTTTTCTTTTGGCATCCTTTTGCAAAATTCGTCTCAGATGAGTACATATACTAGTTTACAAGTTAAAACGGATCTACTCTATTTTTCTCACTTTTTTGTCCACAACACGCAAAAATGTATCTGATTTTCTATTTTTTTGAATTCCATTTCATCTATAATCAAAAAAGGCAAAGTAGTTGGAACAATTCTGGGATCTTTTGTGCAAAGCATAGTTTGTTTTAGTTTATTTCTCGCATTCATCGTGACTCGAAAATTATTTGTTTTTATAAGGTTTTGGTCCAATTGGGAATCACAACTCGCGGATCATATTTTTCTACTGAGTAACGAAATTGCAAAATCTCAATTCAATTTTAAATTGTTAGCTTACTTAGTTTCAAATATTGACGAAATAAATCAGTTGGACTTTTAGACGAGATGCATGGAATCCAGGCAGATGACCCTTGCCAGGTGCCACAGGTGTCGGTGTTTACTACCTGCTTATCGCATCAAAGATTCTATAGACAAATAACCTAATGCTTTTATTCCGAGGTCTGCTAGTATTTCATCCTTTCGTCTCTTGTCAAAAATTTCCTCCAGCAAGAAAGAAAATTTTGTAAATTTTATCAAAGGAAAACCCTTAGCGAGAAATATCGATCAGTCTCTGTGCGATTAAGAAATCATCTGGTTGAATAATTCTTGACACTCGGCCTCAAGCCAAAATTTAAGTATTCCATCGTAGTTTTATCTTCAAATTATCAGTCACATATTTTTCTCAAGATCTAGATTGCGTGATCCCAAACTTCACAGACACAAAAACGAAAAATAAAACTTCCAAGACATTTTCTTTAAAAATTAAAGCGATTATGGAGGGAAAAAAATCCTAATTTTTTTGTGTGCTCTTCAGTGACTTCATTCTTGCCTTACTCTTAGATCTGGATTCGAAGCCGGTTCAATAGGTCATTTTCTTTAAAGCGTCATTTGGTACCATTACCAGACTCTCTGCACACTTTCCTTTTTTTCCAGTTAATTAACAGCAATTATCATATAATTATCTTATTTTCATGAGAAAATACAAATTTGAATAAGAAAGAAAATTTGCAAAGCATTTTGGTCGTGATATTAAAATGACGCCATCATGCAAACGGCCTATTTTACTGTTTTTGCTGTGATAGGCGATAGTCGACTCCTTTTTTAAACCATTATACACAACAGCAATAAATTCAAACTCATAAATATCATTTGTATAAGAGCCTTTAAGGAGGAAGCTTTCATTGGCATCTGTACGTAAATCGTTAGATCAAGAAGAAATGAAGGAAACACAAAGCCAAAAAAAAAAAAAAAAGATTCATGATACCATTGTTTTGGATTACCTGCATAAAAACCTAAAAAAATCAAATTTCCAAAATCTTTGAAATTTTTAAAAATTGCATTGCCCAATTCATTATTGTCTTTCATCGGTCTTGACTTGAGCTGAATTTTCAATTATGTATTTTACTTGAGCGTGATGGTTTAAGATTAGAGGAACTTTTGCTTGTAAAAAGCGGAAGATGATTGTGGAAATTTTTATGATGACCAAATACCTTTGCAGAGGCGATCCTTGTTTATTTTCATTTTTCGGACTTTAAGACACCTGCTCAAAACTCATAGACTATTCTTACGATTGTGCGTAGCTTGCTGTGGCCTTTTAATTAGATTATTCTTTGAATTTCAAAATATATTAGAAAAATAATTTGAAACACTAAATAACTTGCTGAACAAAGTTTGGCTTAATAAACTTAATTTCTGCTTAGTAAAAAAGGGGACGTAGCGGTCATAGATTTTCACAAGAAGTTTTTACCTTTAGAATTTGATATCCGGGATTACACATCTCGCACTAAACATCAAAACATACCCGCCTTGTTTATGATTTTTTCCTCTTTTTACCCAATGGAATCCCTCTAACTACTCCAATGATCTAGTCTGTTTGACATCTGTATGAGAACAAAACTTCACTATAAGTTCAGTGAACCCCAGTATTGAGTCAGTGCAAAGACAAGTAAGTAGTAATGTTATTCAATGCCTTTTTTTAGTATATTTAAACCAAATAATATATTTTGCGTTTCAGAATGGATCTCAAAGTAGGAGTATTGGTTCTGGCAGCTGTAATATGCGTTGTCCACTCAAAGTCTTTGTCTGAGAGTAAGTACAATAGTTATTTCTGATAGAACTTGACAATGTGAGACAGGACGCTGACAAGGGTGCTAGTTTCCTTAGACATTCATTCAATTTGTATATTAATTTCCTGCGATACTAAACGATTATATTTTTAAAAAAATTTCCATTGGACAACATTGATCGCAATTCTCAGTAATACAGTAGTAAAAATTTTACATAACCAAAATGTCAAAATATTCATAATATACATATTTATAACTTTAAATTTTATCTCATTCTAAACGTGTAATACTGTACCTTAAATGATATTTCTTCTGCTTCTGACTAACTATATATATAAGGAATCTACAAATTTCAGTTGGTTTTAGTTTTCGTAGAGATTACTTTTAAAGAAATTAAAACCTTTTAAGCTTGAAGTTGGAATTTAAGTTGCCAAAGTACGTTCATCTGAGGATTCGTTTGTTCCTTATTCTAGTTGTGATTCATTCGTTTATCCACTTTTTCAGTTTCTCTGCCTTTCACAAGGTGAAAATGTTGACACTAAAACACTCAACTAATCTAGAAAAAAAGAAACTGGGATGGTCTCACTTTTGCTTAGAAATCCGTCTAATTCAACTTATATATCTTATACTTATAAGATACATCTTCTATGTACATCAATGAATTTGTTTTAGAAAAAAAAAAAAAGGTTTTGGGTTTTAAGCTGAGCGTTGTTTCATAGCGTTATAATTGAATATAGTGGTAGTGTTTGCAAGTAACTGAAAAGTTTCCCCAATCAGTAGTGCGAAACTCTAAACATTTAAATACAGAGATTTTAATAATAATTATTAGATTATTAGAGACATATCATGTTCAATAATTTCAATAACGCACTACAAGACTAAGATAAATCAGACTGATACTTATGGAACAGACTTTTTAGAACATTAGGTGATGAGGAACTTTTAGATGTTTTTCGGCTCATTCATTTTAAATATATTTACAAAAATAAAAATAAAAATATTTTACGATGTACCATTACCATGTGGATCATTTTTGAAATAGTTACGAGCTACTGCTATTCTTATCATAAGAATTTGTTCCTCAGATTTTGTAGATTTATCTTTCCGAGACGAAAAAACCACAAAACTGGCAAAAAGATTTCTTCCAAAAGTTATTCACAATATATATCGAATAGCATAAATTTCAGTCTTAATTTGTTTAAGGTGGATCAAGAAGTAGAGGTGGTGACGTTTTAAGGTTAAAAGGTTTTTTATAAAATGATAATGATAATGATTTATGATTTATATTGCGCCCTTTCTAGCTATGTGGATATAATCAAAGGCGCTTTACATTAAAAGTAATTATTAACCTATAAGAAAGGCACAAAATACTGAAATCATCAGTCCAATGTGAATGTCCCGGAAAACCCTTCTTGATTCGCCCGGCCTTGTTTTTCATAAATGCTTATATTGCCCCAGCTTGAATTTAAAGAAATGTTTAATAATTATATCTTTCAAATTGTCTTATTTAAGCTTTTTCATAGGCTTTCTCAATTCCAACCTTAACTAGAATGGTCTAACATGTTTTAATTCCATTTATTCTTAGGTAAAAGACAATGTTGTCCTCCACCACCACCACCTCCAGTATACCCACCGCCACCTCCCCCACGTCCAGCTTTACCCGGACCTCCTGGACCAGCTGGATGCCATGGACCCATTGGTGCCCCAGGATGCCCAGGACCTAAGGGCTGCACTGGACCATGTGGACGCCCCGGACCCCCAGGCCCACCAGGACCCCCAGCAATTCCCGGCCCACCAGGACCTCCTGGACCACCTGGATTAATCGGAAAGCAAGGATGTCCAGGACTTAAGGGATGTCCAGGACTAACAGGACCCCCTGGACCACCAGGACCACCAGGACCTCCAGGASCTCCCGCTCCTCCTCCACCTCCACCTCATCCTTGCTGTGGCAAATAGATCGATACTAAGTATCAAATAAATTAATGAAGGTTCTATTTTAAACTGTGTTCTTTTGCATTGTTTCTGGATATGTAATTTCGAAAACTAAAAGGATATAATCTCAATATTAGGCCAATAGCAATATAATGTGCAGTAGGCTGGTTTCACTTTGCAAGGCCAAAGAGCTACGCACGGAAGGCAATGCACGTGTCATTTATTCGACTCAACTCAATTCGAAAGTAACAGAGTACAGTCCCACAGTCGACCACATTTTACCAAACAAAAATACCATTGAGACCATTTTTGCTTACCTAATGCGCATATCATTAATAAAAATGCTTCTATCAAACCAGAAGGACTTGTGCAGAAGGCTGATAAACTAGAATTAATTTAATAAAAGCACAATTGCAAGTTTGCGAAATTACTGATGGTGTGACCTATTGGCTGCGCCGCGTGCTCCTTCCTCTTTACTGACTATAACTTTCATCTAACCCTAAATGTGTCGCAACTTTGATTATAATCCGCCTCCACCCAAACACTATTCTTGTGACATACGTTGTGACATACGTCAATGACCTAGCCACTTCTGTTGATCTCTTTACACCAGTTATCAATGGTGCAGACAATTTATTTGGGATACTCCCTTGTGCTTACTGACCTTAAAAAAGCACGTGTCCCAGGCTTGTGCTTTCTGGCCTTAAAACACGCCATGTCATAGCATCTCAATATTGCTGGTCAATGCGAATTAAATAATCCTAGTCACCTAAATGCACTTCGCCCCTATATTATTGTTTACATCGTTCGCTTACATCGTTCTCGAAGCTCTTCCATGCACTGTTGGAGCAAACGTTTTGCAAATTCGCTATGTCAAAGTCCTCGAATTCCGAAAGATTCCTCCTTTCATTCCACAGCAAGTAGGTTGAATTTTTTGGAGAGATTCTCTTTGTGTCATTATGACTTTTTGGTCGTTCATTGTTAGACATCACAGCTTTCGAAATCTACCTTAGATTCGTTGCCATATTTTTAAAATCCCGCGGAAAGCTTTAATGTGCACCTACACCCTATTTTTTTACATTCTTAACTGTTTGTACTGAACATTTAAGTTAAAGCGAAAAATTGATTTAAAAATACGAAATGTGTGGTCCATCACTGCAAAATGAAAGCGGGAGTCTGGGTCCGAGTGTGACGTCACCACAGGCCACGACTTGTTGCTTGGTGCCTGAAAGTTAGTAAACAAATCAAGTACTTTTGAAAGACAGAAGAGCTTGTTGAAGAAAAATTCGTGAAGATGGACTCTGACTGACGTCACACGTCGCTCGACCCAGTCTGCTGTGTTGTTGCGGCCATGGTCCACTTACTTCAGCTAAAATGGTCTATTTTCCAATCTTTGACAGAGCACCAAAAATTCCCGTTTTGATGGATCTAAAAAAATTTTCAAAGAGCTGCTTTTTGTGACTTAAAGTTTTACTCCAGATTGGGAAAAAATAGGGTGTGTCATATCATGATGGTAGACAAGCATCTAGCAGGAATTACAATACATTGACTATGTATCATTTTAGCATGATGGTCGAAAAACATCTAGCAGGAATAACAAGACCTATGGAATTTCTAACTTCACCTACAAAACCGCCATTTTGCTTAGCAGACAATAGCATAGCACTTTATTGTTTCCGGCTTGGAGGTATTTTGCGCGATGAACCCGATTGGTTGATTTCTTGAGGGTAGGCGGCTTCCAGTCTTGCAGTAAACAAAACCTGTGTTTTTGTCGTGGACGTAGCGAAATATGGCGCTTTTCGTGTCCTAAAACGAGGCATTAAAGGGAAACATGATTATCGCGCGGGCATGGTAACGAGTTAAAAATAGCATCAATGATTCTAAAAATAGTATCAAAGTGTGCACATGATGGGGCACGGGGATTCCTCTTAGTTCATTTTCTCTTGTTATAAACCCATTGTTTTCTTTTGGGTTTTTTATCAAGTAATACTAACTAAATAATCATCTTTCTTTCATGGATTAATAAATCACTCTAGTAGGCGCGTAGTAGTTTGGGTGAAAGCCGACGGTTCCTTTCTTGATCCATTTTAGATTAGGTTGTAAAGAGGGTCAGAAGATAAGAACATGGCGGCCATTAAATGGCACCAACATGGCTGCGATGACGTAACGTGCAGTCGAAGAATAGCTTTCAAAAGGCGGCAAATGATGGACACTTCGTCTAATGAAGGAGCACACACAGAAACAATGTAGAGTTATAGACACAAATGAAATATTTCAAACATACCATATTGCCATAAGCAAACAATCATGCACCCTTAAATTACAGCAAGACAGCAAATGATGGCATAGAAATGAAAGTCATAGACACAATGCTCAAAAGGTCTTGTGAAAAGACGAATTAATTGAAATATCAGTGACTCAAACTTATTCAACAAGGCATGAATCTATAGCTTCAAAAGGTAACAATTGATGACACCTCGCGTAATCAAGGGACACAGAAAAGGCATATAGTTATAGACAAAACAGAATATCTTCATGAAAAGACGGTGTTTTTACACGCCGAAAATGTAACAACTTTCATGTCTAAGAACCTAAGTACCTAAGTTTAAAAAACGTTTTAATTGTTTATTGAGATTGGTTTTACGTAACAAAAGCTCACAATCTGATTTTTATCATTCTGTGGAAATTTCAGTTTTCTTACAAATGTGTTTCCATGTTTCCAGTTTTATATTGTCTCATGTGGAGGTATTCAAATATATTCACAAAAAGTCTTTGTCTCAAGCGTGCACTATTTTGCAGTAAATATATATTTCGTTTTATTGCTTAGTTGCAGAGATAGGAGAAAAGCTTGAAGAAGCCAGGTTTTGCGGCCACCATAATAATTAGTAAATATATTACTGCAGTTATCCGTACTCCTAAAAATGGGACTTTCACTGCCGCCAGTCAAGAACATAAAAGGTACAGACTCATTATTTTTGATTGACGGCGGCAAACAACCAAATTTTAGTTGCAGAATCAGCCCGAAATAAAAATTTTATATGTTTTTTTAATGGAAACCACTGAGTTTGATTTTTAGGGTGGATACTGTGTAAGGCTGTAGCATTTGATAACTCTAAAAGAAATATAAGGAAAATATAAATCTTATTATAAACTGTTGAAGAGGGTAGCTCCCTTGACGTTCAAAACAAAAAGCTCACTATGTATACGGGGTATCTCAACCTGAGGAAGAAAGTTATGTTTTGTAGTTGGCACATTTCTTTCACGTTATTTTACTCTGGTCACCAACTGCCCGGCCATGACGTTAATATTACTTAAGGTGACTCTTTGCCCACGTTTTACAACGTTTTACTGAGACGCACCCCCTTCTGATGTTAGCCTACTTTTCCCAACACTAACACATCAAAAGCATATTTTCATATTTTTCCCTTGGCATTCCGATGTTTCTCAATTGTAAAACAGGTTGAAAAAAGAGTTGAAACTGCCCAGTTGGACAAGATGTTTCAGTTGTGATTGATATCCAAGTTATGGTACTTCGTTCCCTTGAATAGACAATGCTAAACATACCAGCTTTCAAATGCTTATTTTTGTTTCAAAACCCAATCACAGACTCAGATAATCACACATTCATTTATTTAATAATAAATGTAAAAGAATGGACTATGAGATTTTGACAGGTATTGACGTAAAAATATTTCTGTTCATCTTTGGTTGTCAGTTTGTCCTACATACTGAAAAGGTAAGACCTCTACTCAAAAACCAGTCTTTCAAGGTTTCTTTTTTTAAATATATTTTTGGTTTCTGCATCGTTTAGATGGATTTAAAAGTCATACTCATTGTGGTCGTAGCTGTGATCTGCACAGCCAACGCCAAGACACTGGAATCAAGTAAGTAGCTTTTTCCAATTCACATTATCCTAATGGAGCACTTTTTACGACTTTTTGTGGCCTGACCGCTTCTCCATCCTTTTAGCCAGGCACTATTCAATTAGTTACCTCTAGCTTATCAGATATTTACGAACTTACTCAAAACTTCAACCCTTTGAATTATGTTTGGCTACAACATGTTTCTAATTTCTTAGTTATTAAGAAAGTAACTTAAAACGTCGCAAAGCAAGATTGAAATTTTTGTCGTCTAACGTTTTTCACAAAAAGAAATCTTGTAAAGGGATAAAAAACAGTTTTCACTGATTGGGAAACTTAGGATTCAGAAACAATTTAACGAAAAAACACCTATCACACTATAAATGATAATTCCACGATCTTATTGAAAAAATTAAACCAAATGAAACTTTATCAATGAACAAGTGAAAATACTTAAAGGATGTAAATATTGTTTAAGTTAGCTTTGAATAAGGAGTTGTTAAGAAATATAGATTTTTAGTCTAGAATTCAGCTGGGTAAAATTTGTTGAAAAATACGTTTTTGCTATTAATTTTCAAAAGATGGGTTCTTTTGATGTAACTCAGTAATTTTCTCTTTATCGCCAGTTTTTAAAAGGAGTCCCGATCCAATGCCTTGTGGTCCATCTTGCCCTGCCAAATGTTATCCCCGTTGCTTATTCAGCTGTTGCACCGTACCTGCTACACCTCCACCACCAGTTCCAGGCACCCACCCACCCTTCGCACCACCCCCACCACCTATGGTCTTCCCAGGACCACCAGGATACAAAGGCCTTCCTGGTCTTCCAGGATGCATAGGAACAAAAGGATGTGATGGTATGCCAGGTCCACCAGGTCCACCAGGACCTCCTGGTCCCCCAGGACGAAAATAAATGGCCGATGATCACGTGGTGTATCGAAGCGATTGTACAGAATGACATAAAAACAACGGTTTTTTTTTTCTGAGAAAGTATTGTCAAAATGATATTCCTTTACAACTCAATGATGTATTTGTGGAACGTTTTTTTAAATAATAAATAAATGAATTATTAGTGAATAAGACAATCTTTACTCAAGGACTGCAAGGAACTAGTTATATATTAAAAGGTAGAACACTTTTTTTTTTGAAAAGAAAATAATGTGTGGTCCATTCAAAAGTTAAAGCAAGAGAGGTTCAATAGCGGAGAAAAATGTGCCACGATGAAAAAACAAACGAACAAAATGTTTGTCAAAAGCCATTACCATCAGGAAAGAGGACTGTTACAAAAAATGAATATAAGGACAAATAGATAGATTATAGAGCAAACACTCACCATGGGTTTTGTTTTGGGCTTGTATCCTGAGTCACTCAGTGCATTGATCCAAAACGTATTCTCCACCTGCATCAAGCAGCAACTTTAAATCCTATTCTGAAGGTAATTGTTTTTAGAACGTCTGTTTTTCCGTTTATCCGGATCCTTCGCACCACAATGCTGCAAAAGGAAGGGGATAATGTGTAAAGACCTTGGGGACCTGAAGTAATGCCATTCCCTTCTCTAAGGAGAGTGTTTTTTGGGAGAGGGGGGATGGGGCAAAGGGTAAATCACAAAAGTAGATCAGTGTTTACTTATCGTAGCGTTTAGACTTTAAATATTGCACTAACTTGGGTGCTGAAGTTTTAGGCAAGTGAAAAGCCGGAGGGTTGATTAAGCAAACAATATTAGGTTTTATCGACTCTCACCCGTTATCCCTTCCCATAAATAAATTAACGGCATCTAAACCGGTGAACGGCACAGGAAGTCCGAAATAAACAGCACGGACGCTTAAACTGTAAAGGACGGAACATTAGATTTTTGAGGGGTGGGGGTTGCGCAATTTAGGTTGTGCAGGAATTTTTTTTTTTTACGTCTCATGGCTTTGCAGGAATTTTTTTGGACATAATTTGGAATTTTTTTCTGGCACTTACCTATTCACGGGTTTTTTAGGGGGGGTTTTGCCCTCCCCCCCACCCCCCCCCCCCAAAGATAAAATGATCCCTATATAAAGGCAAAGCTGGAGTTTGGTACAGACAAAGATGGCACCCGTATCGATTAGTACATCCTAATTTACTTTTATTCCAAAAAATAATCAATCGTTCTTTATCTTTCCTTCCAAAAGAAAATTTTACTTCTAATTGTATGATTTTGAATTTTTGTTATATTTCAAAGTAACATTCATGGTACGAATGTCTTGTCAATTACGAACAGAACAGCTAGTTTTATTGGGAAACAAAGTTGGCACCAACCAGCAGGTTTCAACGCATTTCTTTCTTTCTAACACCACGTTGTTTGGGAATACAATCCCGAGCGTGAAAGAACAAACCTGCTAAAATATCAATAACAAAGAGATCTTCTCTCATTAAACTTTGATATGGTTTTAACGAACTTAACGAACGCCACACGATTCAAAGAGTCACTTGATTTACAAGCAACGTTGGGATTGTGTCAAGGTATGTGGTTGAAAAAGGCCTTTAATTTATTGTTATCGTTGCCCTTTCAATGCTATTTTTTTCAAGTGCTATGAAATTTTCGGGAGAATAAATAAATAAATTAAGTTTTTTTTACGATAATGCTGTTATATTATTGAAATTATCGCAATTGAAAACGTGCGAATTTAAGCTTTAACAAGCTGCTTAGTTCGTTAAGCTATTTAGAGACACTACATCGGACTTGCCTATACCTGCGGTGTCTTTTCTTTATTTTTAATTTTCCATCTGTATCTTCGAAATGTTGTAACGATTTCTAAAGCTAAAAGTCCATCGTTAAGTCATGGCAAGGGTCAGTAAACCACAACACGAAATCGTCTATTACACGTAATTAGCAATCTATTGTCCTGCAATTGGAATAACAATTTTTGGATGTTTTTTTCTTCTTCTTTTAGTTCGCCATGGAATTTAGGTTGGCCATTCTTTTCACTATTGGCCTGACCTGGGCGGTCAATGCCAAAGGTAAATAGTGTATTATAACCAGTAAAAGAAGGGAAATTACTATTGCTCCTTCATAGTCTTAGCCCCTCTTTTTTTCTGTCGCTCGCTCGTTCTGGCGAATTAATTATTTATTTTTAAAAATGGTGGCAGGTAAATAGCAACTCTCAAACCTACGCATGCGTATTACTCGCTTTCTACTATCGAAATAATAAAGCATCTCATTCAATCAGCTTCATATCGCTGCTGACTTGCTATATTTTTATCTGAGAAGGGAATTATGATATAAAGGAAAACAAAGAAAAAGGCTCAGGAATTCAAAATTTTAAAATCTCATTTCTTTGTTAGCCATATTTGGGAAGGACATGAATATAGAAAACGAGCGAAAAAGCGAGGTAATTTTCTGGCATTAAGCAATAATCATATTAGCCAGATATTAACTATCCTTTCTTGGTAGATAAATTGGGTTGTGCTAAACAGAAATGCAAAGATTGATTTTTCGCGTAAGCACCTTAATTCATTTCCTCGTAGAAGGATGATTCCACAGGGTGACCAAAACGAATTTTAGTCAATAGTTCAAGCTCTTACAAAAARAACGCAAGAACCAACATGAAAATCATATATACGATAAAATAGTCTCTAATGGTTTACTGGTTGATTGAAAATCAATCAAAAGGAGTTATTTTGCGTCACAGCTTTATCTAGGTGACATCTCAATGCATTTTGATGAAGTTGGTCTTGAGCCCAAAAGGTCACATTTCTATGATGAATGTTTTTTTTCTTCTTTTCTTTCATTTTCTTTAGTCGTTGACAAGCGGGAAGCCAATCCGTGTGGTAATGGATGCGCCCCAAGTTGCGCACCATTATGCTCAATCAGTTGTTGTGGAACAGGCCCACCAGGATCCAACCCCCCACTGAACCCTGCCGGTCCAGCACCACCACCACCAGCATCACCACCAATTTACGGGCCAGCCGGATTTCCTGGTGCACAAGGACCAGTTGGAGGACAAGGAGCTCAAGGTCCTCCTGGAAACCCCGGTGTTCCCGGACCTCCAGGACCACCCGGGCCTCCAGGACCCCCTGCCCCACCAGGACCTGCACCTCCAGCGTGTGCTCCACCATACTGTCCTGGCAGAAGATAGACATTTTACATCGATTCACTAGGTTTTTGGTAGTAAAGGTGTTGTACTGTAAGAGATGTTTTAATCTTGATGACAACAGAAGACGTGTTGTTGTGTATTTAATTGCGCTTTAATTTTGCTCTTTAAGTTTTAGTTATTCTCAGTTTAGTGTAATTTAGCTATTTATTATACATTTTTTGTTATTATGCATGTATTTCTTGCAAAAACTATTGTTACTTCTTGATATCATATCATAAAATATAAAATAAAGTTAATAAAAAAGTTTACTTCGTTAAATAATTATTGCGGTGTGCCTAAACACTTGAAGGCTTCTACGAGTGTGGAGAGCAGAAAGATTTCGATTCTGATTTGTCGCTAGCATTTAAAGCAGCTATTATCACAATATAATTATCAAATGCATTTACAGGTATAACCTATGTTATGCCTCATTGTTACAGTGACTGCCTGGACCCGGTTGTACGAAGGGTGGATAGTGCTATCCAACGGATGAATCCTTATCCAGTGGATAGGTCGATGCTGTTTATCCAATAGATTTATCCACTGGATAAGATTTATCCGTCGGATATCGCTATCCACCCTTCGCATAACCGGGCCCTGGACGTTACAATCAATCGGGCAATCGTCGTCGCAACAAAGTAGGTTTTGATGGACGTGACATAAGGCGTTTCCATGACTGATTCCATAGGAACTTGCCTTTGAAAATTTTGTTTTCTTCAACTACTCAACAAATGCGCTCATAATCGTCATGATCTAAGCTATTCGAAGCTGGTGATATCTAAATATACATAATAATATCAGTTATTCGATACCCAAATGAAATTTCCACCCCCTTCGTCCGCGCTATAGGAGTTTATGAAAGTAAAAACCTAAGGTCAGACTCTTATTATTCATTGACTAATGTCTGACTGCCTGACTGTTGGTGGTTTTCTATCCATCCAAGTGAAAAACAGGCCAGATATTCCACACTTCACTGAAGAGACGGCTTTTCTTAGACTGACCGGATCAATGCGCTATTGTTTTAAGGGCGCGAAATTCGTAAAAAGAGAAAACCAATGACAGAGAACATTGTTGGATGGTTTCTTATGATTCTCGTCTTTGAGGTGCACTTTAAATATATACTTTATAGAAATAGTTGTCATTCCTCACAGCTCACCACGTTAACCCACGAAAATGAAAAACTATGGTATCATACGAAGTGCTTCTCAACCTTTGGTGCAAATATACAACGGTAAAAGCTTTAATAACAAGAGCCCTAGTAGAATAGTATAATTAACATTGCTAACAGCCTTTGACAGGTATCACCCGTACATCAAGCGTTTGAAATGTTAGCCGTTAAACACGCTGACAAAGAAAATACGAATCAGTGGCAAATGGAATCTAACTGTTGTCTATCCACTTATTTCAGTACGACTTGCATGGAAATGAAAAACATTTTGCCTAACCGGCTAGACACGGTTATGTACCTTTACATCATATTCCAGACCAGATTTCAAAATCAAGGGATGAACATACACCAGGGCAAAAGTGACAGGCAGCAACAGGTTCGTCCCCTATATGACCCGCCATAATCGACTCAGGTGTAATTACCAAACAAATCTCCATTGACTGCATTGGAGCCCTTTGACCACTCAAAGAGATCGAAATGTTGAACCGTTGTTTATTTGAAAACCTTTAACTAAGTACCACTAGGAAAACACACATACAAAAAGAACCCAATAGAAACAGAAAAATACAAATTCTTAAATAATTATAAAAATTTTCCTTAACTAATCAGTGAAGTTAAGTTTCAGACAGTCCTCAGACTCTCAGTAGCTTCTGGCTAGACCTAGCTTTTACAAGTGAGAACATTTACCAAAAAAAAAAACTTTATCATTTTTCTTCGGGAGTGGCTGTCCAAACTGAATGACTGGTGATTCCCATTTATTTAAAAAAAATCCTCTTGAAAAATCAAAATAATATATTTGTAGAATGATCATTTTGAAGAACATTAATTTTCAAACAAACTTGTTATATGTAGCGAGGTATATCCACACAAGTATTGTACCATTTTTGAATGAAGTGTGAAAAAATGGAAGAATAAAACAATAATCATTTGGAAAACACGTTCTTCAGTACCTAAAATACCTGATCTTCAAATTAAAAATTAACTGAAACACCAGCTAAACTAGACATGGAGATCAAAGAACCGGAAAACTTGCACCACGGCCACCAGCATAAAAGTGATTGACTTTCGAAGATTCAGAGGTAATATCAATTTTATAGTCTTATCTCATAACTCTCGACGCAAAACAAGGTCGTTCCAGAACAGTAAACAACTAAACAAAAGCTATAGCCCATTAAGAGCCGTCTTAACCATTGAACTTAAAGGTACGTGAAGGTAGTAATTCCCTTTATGCTCTTTCATCTAAATAATGGCTTCTTTCTCATTGTAACGGTGTCATGGTTTTTTTCCGATTTTTAAGTGCATTTTTGACGCGTGGTGTTTTGCATCAGTTGCATCTGTATTGAACGACGTTTTCCCTGTCCTATTTGAACGTCTTCTAATTAAAATTATTCTTACTTAAGTAAATAATATTCTTTCTATTATCAGAAAGATGCTGACCAGAACTCTTGTAGTCTTGGCTGTTCTAGCTCTGACTTTGTCCTTAGTCGTCGATGCTAAGTCAACAAAAGGTAAGTTCACTTTCTAGTCCTTTCCACGCAGAAAAAATTGCACGTATTCTCATGTCTCAAAAAATAAGATGGTGACGAGGCTTCAATTGTATTTCAAAAGAAATTAATTCAAAGTGAAAAATAGTCCTTTACTTTACGAATTCCTGGAGACGAAAAAAAAAATTCAATATAGCATTAATAAATGAACACTTTATCGAGATAGCTTAGTTGAATGTTTATCGACTAAGAGTTTTCTGGTACCCGCGACTTCAAAAGAATGTTAACTGAACGTCCACTCGTACTAAAATTTGCTTTTTATTTGTGAGGTTACTGACGGCCAATATCTTAATCTTAAATGTTTTAACCGAAAAAAAAACCGATTGTCCTCTATCACTATAAGTGCTCTCGACCCTATAGTCATCCTACAACACGATCATTAAGCATCAATTTCTGGATCAAAGGATCTGGATCATTAGAGAGTGATTTTACTTGGTCCGTGAAACATGAAGTTATATTCTTCGTTCGCACGTTACGTCATCGCGGCCATGTTGGTACCATTTAACAAAAGATTTCTCATTAGCATCCATTGTTAACGGTTCCACAATGGCCACCATGATTTTTGTCTTTTAACTTTCTTGGGAATGCTTGCAACCCATCAATAGTCAGTGGCTAACATGCAGTCCAAGTAAAACAAATGAAAACAATCGCATTTGTGTCTACTATTACATATTTGGCTATTCTTTCACGGGCCAAGTAAAATCACTTGGCCCGTAAAAAATAGTAAGCCTCATACATAGCAGTAGGCGCTAAAGACGCGATTACGCAGAGCAATTATTTTCTCTGCGACTTGTCTCGTAAAAGCATTGCGACACAAGTTGCAATAGTGTCTCACACGTCGCAACGGAGAAAGCAATCGTTGCCAAAAGTAAAAACGAATCCTACTTTTCACAACCATTGCAGCAACTTGTCTCGCAACATTTTTAAAATTTGCACTGTAAGTTACACGCTGCAACGTGTCGCAACACCATTGCGCGACAAGTTGCAGAGAAAATTGCTCATTGTAATCGCGCCTTAATACCATTTCTTTCTTTTTGTTTTACTGTGACTATTGCAACATCTAATTATCCCGTACAACTTTCAAGTGTTTCACGGCCAAGCCAAGTAAAACCACTCTATTGTTTCATGTATTTGTGAGTGTTACATTCTAATCACGAGAAAAAGACTAAACTAAATTAATATATAGCACTTATGCAAGACTCTTTTGACCCTTTTGCTATCGTTAACGAATACTATTTAGCAATTATTAGTTGGTATGGGTTATCATGGGTTTATTGTGTGCGGCATATTCCTTTCCTTTAGATAGATACTCCCTTCATTCCTCATAGAAATTTCTGTTAATAATTATACATAAACCCTATAAATAATAGGCACCCAGTTGCCCCTAAGTATACACATCATTGTAGGTAAACAATTATCCATGGATACTTCTGCATCTCCAATAATCCCATTATTCTGCAAGATACCCGTGCCACATTAGATATCCCTTAGCACCCTTGGTTTTCCACCATGGGAACTGATTGATGCATTCGTTGGGATAATGCAGACTGAAAACAATGGATTTTGATAAGATCAGTAATCATTATTATACTAAATCAACAGGAAAACATCACCATCACCATAAAAAGAGTCATCACCATCATGGTAAGATTTACATCCATTATATACTTAGCATAATAATGTATTTCATACATGTACAAATGTACCTCTTTTATTAGAGACCGATTTTTTGTGAATAGTTTTACTGATTATATAAAGAAAAGTACTGTGCTGTTTTTTAACCTCGATGATTCTAAATAAAAAAAAGAGAACATTTGCGATTTTTCATCGTAAGTACATTTATCTGTGTTTTCACAGAAGAAGACGCAGAAGAAAAGTCGCTAAACAAGGAAGTCGAGAAGATTCAACATGATGAAGGTATGAAGTAATAACATGTATTGTTGTATTTGTTTGTTCGTTTCTTAATAATAATAATAACAAAAAAAATTACTTGAAAAAGCATTTCTTAAACTCAATGCTTTGTTTAAAATCAATAAGAATAATATAAAACGTGTATAGTAGTATATTGCTGGGTTTCATTCAGCTGATAAAAGTCTTTGAATCTAAGGCCCTGGCTAAACGAGGAAACATGTTTCCAGAAACATGTTTACCGCGCGCACGTTTCCTCGATGTTTCCCAGTTTAGCCACATGCGAAACATTGCTGCGTACAACAAATTTTGCTTCCAAGACGCAAAAATACTTTTGTTGTGCGGCAGAATCATTTCATGTTTCCAAGACGCATGGAAACATTGTTTCCCGATGTTTCCTGACAGTTTTGCCACCTTAGGAAACATTTAGGGAAACATGTTTCCTCGTTTAGCCAGGGCCTAACTATCTGTTCCAAATGGTAGTCAAACACCGACCACCATGTGCTGTCACCCAGAAAGAATTCTATTGAAAACTTGCGATTCGGCTTATGAACATTCCGCACGCGACAGGAAATGATATCAACTGAAACCCAGCAATTAAACTTTCATTCCCGGTTCACTGCTTAAGAATGGGGAGAAATGGAAGACATTGTCATAGTGGTTAGGTAGTTCATATTTTGTAGAGACCGTAATTTCCTCGTAATGGTATCGTTAATGCTATCTCAAACAAGACAGCATTAATTGAAATAGGGTTCAATGATAGATCTATATATTGAAATTCTATTGAATGGATGGATAAAACGTTCAAAGGATAGATGGACCGTTAAAAGCATGGATGTACGGTTGGATGGTTTTTAAAATGAAAACTTTTGTGTGCTTGAATGATTGTTTGTCAGACCCACTATTTTCTTGGTTAATGCTTATATTTTAATTGTTAATTTTCCTGTCTTTACAGCTGCTGCAGCCGCTGGAGGTGCATCCGGAAGCGGTAAGTTAGTTATTTTATCAAATTTCAAAGAACAAAACTTGTATCATATACTACAAGTCAAACGAAAGAAACAATAAAATTTTAATATAAAGCTATCAATTGCCTTTCTTCCACCATTCGTAAAACAATTTTTTTTGGCTATCCCAGGTGAATCTGCAGGATCAGGAGCAGGATCAGGAGCTTCAGGATCTGGAGAAGGATCAGGTAAATACTCTCTATGTCTTAAATATGACGCCGAGCATTCCCTTACGAACAGCAATCTATTACTCATTTTCATGATTTAACTAGTGCAATATTAATCAAATATTTTTTTTCCTCTCTTCTTAACAGGTGCGCCACCACTTGAAGTTGGGGGTCCAACACCACAACCACGTATTTGCCCCGCCCCATGCCCACAAGTGTGTGCTCCTGCATGCATGGAAAACTGCTGTACCCCTCCTCCAGGAGGTCCAGTCTATGGACAGCAGGCCCCTGCCCCACCAATGGTCCCACCAGTTCAAAACCCATGCCAACCTTCTTGTGCCCCTGATTACTCTCAATCTTGCTGCGGTCAGGCTGCCGCCCCAGTGCCAATGCCTGCCCCCATGCCAGTGCCAATGCCTGCCCCCATGCCAGTGCCCATGCCAATGCCCATGCCAATGCCAATGCCATGTGGTACTCAAATGACCCCTGGATGCAAGAAATCTCACGCAAAGAAGCAAAGCAAAAAACATCATTAAAATAATCAATTGATCGATTGAGGGGCTGACCCAAAATTAGCAAAAGTTTTGTTTTGTGTCAAGAAGAACATGGCAACAGTTTTTGAACTTTGTGAAAATCACAGAAAGAAATGAAATGAAAATATGAGTAACAGAAAGTGATATTTTAAATTTGTTTTGATAAAGTCAAAAAAGTGATTTGTACGTTGATTTGCAGAAATAAATATGGGAATTTTAGGAGAAATATATCAACATTGGATTGTAAATTAATTCTTTAGCTTAACTTTCGCCCTAAAAAGGCTTCCCATCTTCAATCTCTCTTAGTATGCATCTCTGACCTTAAAGTGAATTAGAAAGAGAAGGCATTTTGACAGCTGTTTCGATCTAAAGATGGGAAACCTTCATTCCCTATTTGATTTATGGGCAAAAAATATAGTCTTCTCTTTCATTTTTTTCCATGGTCAACCAAGCGTTGTTGTCCTTGTCATAAGTCAGAAATGCATACTAACATTCTATTTCTTCTTTCTACAGCAGAACAATGTCCTGCTAAGTGTCAGCCTTCGTGTGAAGAAGGCTGCGTTCAAGAGTCAATGACGACTGATACATCGCATCTTTTGGGCGGCCATCCACATCCCGGCCCTCCCTCTCAGGCTTTTAACCCTATGCCGTTGCCGAGAATGTGTCCTGCCCCATGTCCACAAGTATGTGCCCCAGCATGTGCTGAGGACTGTTGCTCAGCAGCCCCTCCTATTGTCCCACCAACGCAACCTCCACCAGAAATGCCACAAATGCCCCAAATGCCACAAATGCCACAAATGTCCCAATGTTCTCCTTCTTGTGCTCCTACCTACCAGCCTAGTTGCTGTGAACAAGCTGCACCAATGTCTTCCCCAGTTTATATGCCACCCCCTCCTCCTCCACCGTTTATTATGCCCCCTCAAATGCCAATGAGTGCGTCCTGCAGCCCTCAGTGTCAGCCAGCAAGCCCCAGCTGCATGGCTCCTCCTCCTCCTCCACCTGCACAACCTGCATGCCCTATGCAGTGTTGCAGACGAAATTTCAAGAAAAAGTCTTCAATCAGCAAGCATCACTAAAGTTACCTTTGTGTAAGCGTTGTCGGATGTAAATATAAGAAGGACCTTTTTGTTGAGGTTCTTCCATTTCTCCAAACAAAAAATGATACACTAAATATCTAAATAGATAAAATATCAAGTATCAAGAAAGGTATAAAAAGGACCTTCCGTCTTTTGTTTGGCATTTAGCATCAAACTGGGTGGAATACAATGGATTTTAGTGGTACAAACATGCTTAAAATTAGAGTAAATAGATGTAAGAATTTTTGGGGTTTGTTAGCTTTTATTTTATCTTCATGTTCAGTATTTGTTACGTGACATTTTTGTGGCACAAGTAGTAACGCTAGGTTAACCAATAAGGTTCTTCGAGATTTGTACTTAGTGTCGATAACTTATATTATAATTAACAATATATATATTGTGTAAAGATGAGCTCTAACTTAATTGCCATGCAATGCAAATTGTGACAAACTTATTACAAGTAAAGAGAAACTCAATATTACAATAAAGTGCAGTTTTTGGATTTTATTATGTTCATGGATCTAGGAGCTAAAATGAAAATAAAAGTATATTCCATTCCAGCTTTTCATGCACCGAGGCACCACAATGGCTTGTGTGTCTCAAGGACCTGAGCTATTTCGAAACGAGTCTAGCCTCTTGGTAGAGCCACCCAAGTCAGACAGGTCAATGCCATCCATTGGCTCTCCAAATTGGGGGTATGACGCAGGGCTAAGTAAAAACCAGTCCAGTAAAATCTACTAAGAAGTTACAGGAACTAGAAACACTAATGAGATAAGAGGGAATAGGGGAGCTGCTAGAAAACAAACAGTATGGAATACGAAAATATTTTTTATTCGATAACTGGCAAGTTAATGGAATGGTTTTGGCCTTTGCTGCACACGACATGTTTAGTGAAGAATGAATATTCTCTGCCAAATGTACACTTTCTGCGTAAAATCGAGTCTTCAAGGGGTAGGGTACATTTGCTACCCTAGGATTTATGTCRCCGTTTTAACGCTGAGCGCTAATCCTCCATAGAATTGTGTACTATCAGAAATGCCTTCACAAGTAAGAAAAGCATCTGTCACCATGCAAAAGATTCGATTATGCCTACAGCCTGGCCCTCCAGATGTTAGGAGTATAGTATTTCTATACGTAGAGTTGCACTGTATACCAAAGTAAAATTTTTGCGATAGGCTCTTGGCCAATAAATACCGCGAAAGGCAAATCCAAAATTAAATCAGATCCGAATTTTGCGGATAGAATTGTAATTGTGACATGATATCAAATCATTTGATCGCCTGCTTACACATCAAGGAATAATAAGAAATCGAATGAATTTAGATTTTCCAATTAAAAAACATGAAATGTTTGTGCATAAAATTTCATTTTTCGTACCACATCAACTTAATCAATGCAGCCAAGGAATGCAAAAATCTATAGAAATCAAAAGGAAATTTCATTTGATATTGAAGTGAATAGCATATAGTGTAGCAACGCCTTTCTAACGCCGTTCATTGTCTACACAAAATACATCATGGATTGGCAATGCGTTAGGTGGCCGTGCGTGTTTGTGTTCAATCTTTCAAGATGACTTAACGTTCCCTTCGAGAGAAATCCTGCTCAAGTCATGATCATTTTTGAAGATTATTTTATGTTCCTCGTATTAGCTGTTGCAAAAGAGCCGCGATATATAGCGTTCTCCGTAACATTTGATTTAGCAATGATTTCAACCTCATACTATCTTAAATGTTTCACTAATTACCTGAGAGTCATCAACGATCAACCTGTGTTGACCGGCAGATACGAAGTTAATACCAGCATTTGATTGGATGACACGTCCTAATTATTGTCACGGTCCAACACGTCGGGGGGAAGTCATAAATAATTAACATAACTTTTGGTAATTCACCGCACCATCATCATAACAATATTGATAATTTTTTGAAAAAAGCTAAGAAATTTTGAGATGCTTGTAAGAATTACAAAGAAATAATTATCGGTAAAAAAAAGTGATACTATCAGTGGATTTTATCTAATCAAAATATAGAATGAATCAAAGGGTATTTTTGTTGGTTCTTATGGTGGTGGCAGTGGTAAAAGGATTACCTGTAGAGAAAGGCACTGACAAGACGGCCAAAGCTAACCAGACGTTTGAAGGTAAAACGAATGTAACCTAAACGTTAAGTGTGATTATAGTGATATACTAACCGCTGTCTCTGGATGGAATATATCCCAATGTTGCCTTGCGTAAAACTGGTCATAAAATTCATTGAATGAGAAGAAAATCACTTATGATTCAGTGAAGTAGAACATAAGAAACGCAGAAATATGAATTACTTCATCGTACGCAAAGCTTAAGATCACAGTAAAGCCAAGTGGAGTATTAAATTAAGTGGAAAATAAAAACACTTTCGTACTTGCATAGATAGTTCTTGAGTTAAACCGTACAGTAGCCTACTCCGGAAACATTTAAAAAATGATAGCTTTTTCAAAATAAACTAAGATTAATCGTCATTTTAGGTGCAAAAAGCACTACTTCACTGTCACAGCATTAAGGTGTATGGAATACACAGCTTACCACTGCAAACACTACTCTTAGTCTATCATCACTGCAGCAATAAGGTGTGTGATGGAACACCATTTTTGTTAGCTCCATGCACAACATTAAGATTCCTGTCATAAGGTAGAACTATGGAATACCATTGCAAACACTTCCTTTGTATAGCAATAAAACGTTTGGTAAAGCCCGCACTGCTTATGCTACTCTGACATCGGCAATCAGTAAGGTTTATCGTCAGTGACATTAATCTTAGCTTGTCAAAGTAAAAGGGTGTATGGAATACCACTGCAAACACTTCCCATGTACAGCAATAAGATGAACGTAATGCCATTGTTGATCCTACTTTGACAATCAAGTAAGGTGTGTGCAGTAAAATCCATGATCCTGGATAAGCCTACGTAAGGCTATACAGTTGGCTGATTTTACTTATTAACTCCATTGGTTAAGGAAAGAGAATCTAATTTCGAAGGTTGTTTGTCAGACAATTTTGTACACAACAGAAAGTATTCATTTTTGTTCGTTTTGTTTTTCTTCAGTTAAAGTCGTAACAGGAGCCAAGCGAAGTGAGGTCGACTTTGAAAGAGCGGAAAAAGACGCTGGAAAAGCAGTTCTGAAACTATTGGATGCTAAAATAGGTAATCACAATCAATACAAAACAATATTTGTAGCCTTTTAGTACTGAAAGACCTTAAAGAGTATATTATATGCAAGGTTATATGTGTTACTGAGTTTGTAGGCGGAGGGGTAAGGCAGTTTTCAAGTTCAGTAGGTCTCTCCCTAATATCTTAAGAGTGCGATCATTCTATAATACCTCATTAAGGCTACCTGGGAGTGTTGAGTAATTGCAAAAAACTAGGCAGCCATCCTTAACTGTGCAACCGAGCGCAACCGTTGAACAAAGAAATGATAATCTAGGGAATTACACGTGGTCTGAAATGGGTAAACATTACACCCGAGCCGAGGAGGTCTATTATAGCTACAACTGACAGCCTTGTAAATAGTGCAGTTGATCTTTTGCAAAAAACAACATGTCAAATAATCAAAACTCACTGATCTATGTTAATCTAGTGTTTTCTGTTGATCATATTCGAGTTTGTTTTCATTATGATGTTTTAGGGCGAAAAGTTCAAGATGCGGCCAAAGAGGTCACCGAATTCCTTACATCTGCAGTAGGTATGTACAAAAGACTGTTTTATTGAATCCTGAAGAGAATCTGCAGTGATCTAAGTCAGAGCACAGCTGGCTTAAATTGCAATGAAATTACCGAATGAAATTACAATGAAATCAAGAGCATTTGATTTTTTGGGGGGAAGTGGTGAGGAATCGAAGGACCCGAAAAAGACCCCGCGGATCGAGAGCGAGACACTCCTAATATACTAAACCATCCTTAGCTGAATACAGTGTTATATAATTTTCATCATCTCGATTAGCAGCACCTAGTTTCAGGTGATTTTTGGTCAGTTTCTAGAAGAGAATGCTCGTATTTGATTAAATTGACATTTCCTTTTTGTAGGACATCATGCCTCATCTAGAGCAGACGATCTTCGAAGCGATAAACAAAAAGGTAACATAACCCCGCCTTATAATTTAGGAGTTATTTGTCTATATATTTTTTAATTTGCCTTCAAAAATTACATTTAGGCGCACATTATAGCCATTTAAGTTCAAGCGCAAATATCCTTAAACCAACTCAATACCTCATGCATCATTTCTTGAATAAAAATCTGTAATCTTAGGCAGTCACTGTCAACACACAATTTTTTATGCATAACAGTGCGAGAATCATAAGGAGCTTTATATACTATAAGCTATAAACTTACTCTTCTTTATCTGATACATCACATTCCGGGTACTTGTTTTCCTGTTATGCTCCTCTTACTTTCATTTTCATATTCTTCTCGATCTTTTTGTTTCCATTTCTTCTCTATTACCTTAGTTATTGGCCTTGTTTTGTTCGTCTTCCTTGGTTTCTCCTCGTGTTCGGCTGTGTTTGGTACTACATTTCTCTTCTATGCTCTCGAGCTTCCTGTTGAATATTCCTTATGTAATTAATTGCAATGCTTTCTATATGGTATATGGTTCTATTGTTTAATCAAGTCCTGCATTTTTGCTTTCTGTCACATAATCTTTTATTTAGTACAATACCCTTGAGAGTCATTCTAAAACGAAGGCAGATTTTGTCACTTTTACGAGAAGACGTGTCATTCTGTTGAGTTTATCGTTCCTTCTTTTAAAACACTAAAGCAATGAAAGCCAATCATTTCTTTTCTCAGGGGAATGACGCGTTGTCTAAAATGAAAAAGATGTTCAAATTAAATCGGTATTTTCGACATAAAGCCAATTTGTTTACTTTTCATACAAATGAAATTAGTACGGTCAATATCTGGATTATTCTTCTGTTGCAAGTGAAAACAAGTTATTCAGTTTAGTTTACTTAATACTTGATTGATTTTATACTTACAGAGATTTCTCTTTTGCACTTGGGTGCAAACAAAGCTGTCTCCCATGAAGTAAAACTGCAAGACAAAAAACCAAAGAAGAAAAAAGACGGTTCTTTCTTGGTTCACTTCAAAATTCCATACATTGTAACACCAATCAAACCAAAGAAGAAATCCCATCATCATCATCATCATCATCACCATCATCATCATAAGCATCATCATCACAAACACAGCAAATCTAAGAATATACAAGATATCCCTCCACCAATCACAGTGGGTCATAGCCCTTATGGAGCGCCTCACCAAGGTAACACCCCTTTTTCAACTAATATTGAAATAATTTATCCATGACTTGGAAATAATAATCAAGGTAATTATTCATCATATGAAATAAGATTTAACATTGATTTCAAAGACAGGATTTTTAATGCAATAAAATGTAATTGAAATTTAGTAATTTTGGGGAGGAAAACTTGAGAACCCGGAGAAAACCCCTCAAAGCACAGCAGAAAAACAACATTTAACTTAACCCACGATTTTTCATATCTATAATCGATCACAGGTCGTAGGTCAAGCTAGCGCTACACCACTAGGCTTACATCTGCACTTTACCCAAAAGATCTCTTGGAGTAAAACTAACCTTTCTTTATCATTTTATAGCTTCACCTTATCCAGGCACTGCAGCACCAGCAACAACTTATTCCACAGGTATGGCATCTGCAGGTCTTAGTCCTTGCCAGGGAATGTGCACAGCACCGTGTACACCACAGTGCACACCAAGCACTGATTGTTGTTGTTGTCCTGACCAAAACGCGGCTGTCCAGCCATCAGCTGTTCCAGTAGCATTGCCTCCACCACCAATGTTTCCTCCTCCCATGCCACCACCACAATCTCTTCCTCTGTCACCAGGATCATGTTTGCCTGCCTGCAGACGCCACTGTTTCAGCTACTGCCCTCGTGAGTGTTGTGGCAAGGCGGGAAAACGAAGTGAAGTAGCGGTGACCAAGAAATCTGACATAAAAGAGAATTCAGATAAGAATGATGAAAAAGAAGACAAACCACAGCCAAGCGGAGAAGAAACACAAGAAGCAACGAAGGAAAATGACAACAATGACAAACCGACAGAAGTCGTTAAACAAACTCAAGAAAAGGATGAACAGGAAACTACGAAGACAGCTGATAATGCTGTTCAAACCCAAGAGAAGACGGAGAACGTTCAAGAAGAGCAAGCAGAAGGCGATAAAGAGGAAACAAAAGCTGATCAAGTAGCAAAGGAAACTGACCAGCCACAGCAGACACCAGATCAGCCACAACAGACTGAACAACAAACACAAGAACAAACCCAACAAACTTCTGAAGACCAACGTGAAGAAGGTTCAGCAAACGAAGTCAATGATGAAGATGACGTTACATCAAATGTCTAGCTCTTGTAATTGGTCCCAGTAATGTACTTAGGAAACAATATAGTTGTTAAATAATATAAATACAGCAAACTTTGTAATACGGGAAATGTTTTAGTTGACGTGTAAAAATTCAAATTCAAATTATTTTAGCAATATATTTTGCATTAGATTATGTAATCTGTACGTCTGAGATCTAAACAAGATGGTTCGGGTTTACCTTAACTTGATTAATAAACGTCAGCCGTTTATTTTTTCTATAGGACTGGCAGAAAGGACAGAGCGGAATAAATATTAAACAAATGCGGTTGATATTCAATAATTTTGAAATCGTTAAACTCAAATTGTAGTGATTTAAAAAAATTGTAAAAGAATCATGGCATGAGCATATTGCGATATAGTTTCAAAGCATGTGTTATTATCGCTCATCATAGGAACATTGAATAACGAATGAAATATATATATACATAAGGGTATAACTGACTACAGACTACTAATAATACTTGTAACATAACATTTTGTTTATTAAAACTCTTATATTGAGAGAAAAACTACGCATGCATGTTTTGTTGAATTTTTATTAACATTAAATATCATTTTAGCCAAACATTCTTCAAGTCAAAGTATTTGATATCAAGGGCGAATTTCGTAGTTTTGTGTTGGGGAAGAGGGCCCCTCTGTCCACAGATCTCGTGGGAATGGGAAGGTACAGAGGATCACAGCCAAAATATGGCTCCCTTAAATCTCCCCTATAGTACATTCTCATTCTAAAAGTTTTACATTTTCAGACAAGATAATTAATTTCTCAAAAGCTACTAATTGAGCATCTATAGAAGGTGAAATTCAGCCATGCCAAAGCCATTGCAACAGTGACTAATAAGTAATATATAAAACAATTAACGAAACAAACGGTAAAAAATAAGTAATGGTGGAATGGGGGACAAAAATTGGTATTTGTAATTGAATGTCAGCCATCAGCTCAATCAAAATGTATAGGATACATCTTTTTTTAACCGGAAGTTGAACTGTGTTTCAGCTCTTATGAATTATCGTTCATCCGATTTCCATATTCCTTTTGCCAACTCACAGAAGATCTGGTCTTTCTTTCGTATCAAATTTTTCAATTTTAAATGAATATACAAGAAAATGTATGAGACATTAAGTACCAGAAATGATCAGTATACATAATGTAATAATCAAAATATGAAAACATAAAATCAAAACATTCATTCAAAAGAACGAAATGAGTGTGTGTGTTTTTTTTTTCTTGGAACTTTGACGGCAACTCAATCTTTTAGTTTTTCGGGATTCCAAGTACCAAAAATACGCTTTTTAAGTTTTATTTAGACAGATTTCATTATGTTTTGAACGCTTTTAATGTTATCATAAACATGCTTATCTTAAATTCTTACAAGTTGAGCCAAGCATTGACTATAGAAGCAGGGATCTCGTCTCGATATTGGTTGATGTAGTGTAATGGATCAGTGGTCTGGTCACCACAATAAACAGGTGCCGTATCTTGAATATTGCTCAGGATTTACGAGGATTTACGAGAATTTATGCAGTAAATAAATTTCCTTAATTCAAGTATAGAGAGCATTTATGTCAAAGAGTCCAGCACAATAACTATAATCATGAAATGTGTCGGGCAACAAGTACCAAAGTTGCAAACAACAAGCTTGTTATTTTACAAAACAAAAACAAGTAGGGTTCAAATCTAGAATCAAAATTTCACCTCCAAAAGCCTTATCAAATGACCCTGAATGGCCTTTTCTTTGCACCTGTAGTAACATCTGTTCCTCTGGATCTAGAAACCTAGATTAGAATCCAGCACTGTCCAATAAAATACTTCGGTTGGTTGACTTTCGACCGGTGACTAAATACCGTTAACACCAAATGAATGGCACACATGTTGCTGTAGTACGCTTCACTTCACTGCGATACTTGTGGTTTATTAATAGAGTTTATAGACAGGAAAACAGCGAGGCCAATTTTAAGGAAAAATCGTCGCGCTTATCGGTTTTCTTTTCCGTGATTAAAGTAAAAAGTGCTATGAGCACTTGACAAAATAAGTAATTTAATCTTCGAATCGACGTACAAAGAATTTAGGTTTACATAAAGATGGTTGTAACAAGGTTTTTTCCATTTATCATATTGGTGTTTTTACCTTTGAGTTTAGGAGTGGATATAAAGCAAAAAACACTTAAACAATACAAGATAGACGGTAAGAGATTGTAGAATATACTTTTCTTTTCCCTTTTTTGGGGAGGGAAAAAAGCTATCTAAGTGATCTAAGGGTGGGCTCAGATAGCGCTGTTCAATTGCAATGGAAGGCCTCAGCCTTCATTGAAAAACCATCTACTACTCTTCCCGCTTGAAAATATTCATTCAAAACCTCGATAACGAAAACAGTAAGAAAAATTATCTTATATGTTTGTGGTATGAAATTTCAAAAATTTCCAGTTATAATTTTGAAGTTGTAAAAAAAATCGCCATTGTCGCGAGACCGATCCAAGAGGACCTTTTCTCTCTCGGTAAAATCATTACCTTGATTTCAGTTAAACTTTGAACCTTTCAGTGGTTTTATAGACTGGTCTATTTATTTTTACGCTTTTGTTTTAAAGTACAATCGTATTTTTAATAGTTCGTTTATATTTGATTTGAACTTCGGCAACTTGGCAAGCTGAATCTAAATTGAGTGCATGGTAAAAACGTGGACAAGTGGGTTACTGAAATTTGTGTTCATTAATTTTTTGAATAGAAATTTAAATTTATGAGTTGATTTTAATTCAACGAGTCCGACGTTTTCTTACTAATTCTAAAGTAGAATTGGTTTCAAATCAATATTTATCTTATAAAATTCACAGATAACGAATGGAAGCGAGCACAAAGCATCATCAATAAACTTGTGGATGAGAGTATAGGTAAGTCTAGAAGTATATATATGTATATGTGTATGGATTTACACGAACACTAAGGACCAGATTAGAAGTCAAAGGTTTTATTGTGTAAGACTAATGAATCCCACCTCAAGGCTACCAAATTATATTTTTTCAAGTGTTACATAAGTTCGACGCCTCATATTCATTACAGTATTAAGAGATGTATATTTCCAGCCAACAGAGTCTCAGAGGCCGAGAAAGACATGACATCTCTCTTAGAGCGAAATATTGGTATGTAGTTAAAATCTATATCCTAACAGCATCAGACAACTGAATTATTGTTCTCCCCACGTATAAGGGTCAATGCTTGTAGAATTATTGGCGGATATTCCTTATCCTGTGTCTCTTTCCAAGATCAAAATTTTGTACACTTAGTTCCAATAGAATTTATCTAACTAGCTGTTGAATTACCTCGTGTTTCTCAATAATAACAAACGCTGCTTTTATAACTTTTCAGAGGAGCATATCAAGCGAAAAAGTAAAAGCTACTTCGCTGGTCTCAAGAAAGGTATTTCATTGTTATTGTCAAGTGTTATTGTTCTATTAATTTAGAAGAGTTCAAGTAAAATTGCTTCTATATTCAAGTTTTAATTAAACCAGCGCTACTTAGTACTTACAGTCGCTCTCAATAACACTAGCAAGAGATCGTCGCGACGCAGGATTTGGTGAACGTCAATCAAGGTGTCTCCATAAAATCCCATAGGCACGTTTCCGTGGAAACTTTGATTGAAGTCCACAAAAAACCTATTTTATAGCGACGGCAAATTTTACGAATGTAGTTAAAGCGCTTATCAATTACACGCTCAAAATCGTTTGATTTTGCCATCACGACAATTGCAGGTTTTGGTGGACGTCAATCAAGGCGTTTCCATGACATGTTCCCTTAAAGGCTTATGGTTTCCCGACAATGTTATAGAAACACTTTGATTGACGTCCACCAAAAACTTATTTTGTTGCGACAAACTGTACGATTTCGCGCGTTTGACTGGAAAACGCTGTAATATTTTTTTCTTTCTTTTAGAATGCCGGGACAAGATTGAACATTGCGATAGTCTTGCTACTGCTGGTGTGTGTAAAACATCCATAAAGGCAATGAAAGACCATTGTGCAAAGACTTGCAATTTATGTCGTAAGTATTGACCAACTCTGCAAGGGTTTGAATCTGAATTCTTTATAGAGCTTAGTCGGCGTCATGTGATATAATAGCTGTAAAAGATCTTGTTGATCTTGTTAAGTGAAAGCCGGGCCGTAGAAATTTTCGATAGTGTTGATTCGCATTTGACTTGACTTTCAATTCTTTAAATGCTTTATTTATTTATTATTATTATTATCACTTTTTTTTTTTTTTGCAGAGCGAGAGTATGTTGAAATCAATCCTGAAGTAGAAATCGTTATGAAGCCCAAAAAATTTAAGGCTTCCAACGAAACATCCAAACATTCTGAAGAAGCTGTGACACCAGAAATCAAGGCAGCAGCCCTTCATAAACTTTATAGCAAAGAAGAAACCGTCATTCCTGGAGAAACTATATCGGCACTTCACTCAATAGAGCCATTATTATCCCAGCAGTCCTCAGTTGCCATGAAATATCACGACAATGAAGACATGTCTACAGAAAACGAGAAAATCAAGGATGCTCAGAAGCTTCTCGAGTATGTAAAGATCTTGAAACCAGCTCCTAAGAAAAAACCTTCAAAGGCGAAATCTGCTGCTAAAAAGCATACCACCAAAATTGCGACAAAGAAGAGTTTTAAGAAGTCCCACACCAAAAAACTTAAGGGCGTTCCCATGGACAAGCTTTCCAAAACAGTTACCTATAAAAACCAGAAGTACAAAATCACTCCGATAGTCGACTGGGAAAAAATCTCAAAAATGTTAAAATCTCTTGGATATAAAGCTGTTCATATCGTTGGCGCGAAGAACAAGCATTTAGAAAAGGGCCTGAAGGATCATCTCAAGCAAAGTGGTGTTACTAAGGTTATGACTGGCAAGCAGAAAGTCCATGTTGCCCCTGAGACGTTTGTTTCAGCAACTCACAGACACAAGTCATGGCGTAATGGTAATTTTATAAAAATCAAAACTATTTTGCTTGAAATGTTATCCTAACAATGTAATGAGGACATGCAAATCCTACTGCAATTATCCCTTAGAATCAGCTGAACTATGCCTTTAAGTTCAGATTCGAATAGAATTGCCAGTAAAGCATTGGTTTAAGTCACCTTTGCTATAGCGCTTGAAAATATGTGACCCAAAAATTTTATCAGTATTGTAAAAACACTTCGGTGTAGGGTTAATTGCTAACTTGCGGTCAGCTAGAATGAAGGGAATAAGTACGAAATAGAGGACGAACTAGGAATATTTAAGACTGTGGACAAACGCAATTAAAATATTTTCAAAAAACACGACATTTCTACGACCAAAATTCTTTTCAATGTATTTAGCAATATCTTATATTCTGATTTTAACTTTTATCAGATAAATACTTCAAGGAACACTGCCATCCACTATGTTTAGTAGCGTGTGTAAGCTCATGTGCACCAGGTTGCTGTAAAGAACACGATAAGATTGATGCTAAAAGTGGACTTGCCAAGCACTGTCATCCAAAATGTCTAACCGACTGTGTGCCAGCCTGTGGAAGTGGTTGCTGTTCGGCAGATGAGGAAAGAAAGCGAGGCCACAAGTTTTCCCACTTTAAAAAGCTTAAAAGTTTCCATAAACAGAAAGAAGAGAAAGACAAGCCCAAAAAGAAGGAAACTCCAAAAAAAGCTGCGGACAAACCTAAAGTTTCAGAAGTAACAGCAGAAAAGAAGAAACCCTTTTCGTTAAACGACATCGGGCATAAGGAAAAACCTCATCCTCCTGTTGTAAATCCTAAATTATCGTCCGAAGAACTTTATAAGCCACAGCCCAGACTCTGCCCTGGTAGCTGCCCTGCGGTAAGTACGATTAAAGTGCTACTCTGATGAAAATCGCTCAAACTTGGATTCAACTGAAACTTCCTAAAAATACTCTCTAAAGGTCCAATAATCACTGTATGAAGTGTTTTCTCGATATTCAGGACGAAAGTATGATATTTTTACGATTATTTTTTGGAGTCTGWGACGTCATACACTCAACATCRAACATTGCTACATATATTTCTTTGTATATAAATCCTTAATTTATTTTATTCCTATGAAGCCCAAAGGGTGGCTAATGTGCTTATTTCACATTACTTGTGACTATAATTTTTATTTTGGGTGTGTTTGGATATTTCTTTCTCCCAGACGTCACAGACTCCAAAAAATAATCGTAAAAATATCATACTTTCGTCCTGAATATCGAGAAAACACTTCATACAGTGATTATTGGACCTTTAAAGAGTATTCTTAGGAAATTTCAGCTGAATCCAAGTTTGAGCGATTTTCGTCAGAGTAGCACTTTAAAGTTTATGCCCATGCTAACCTTGCACTAAGATTGATTACTTGAATACAGGCTTTGCACCATTACGTGATGGCAGCCATGACAGGAGGCACTAGGAAACTGAATTCTTTCTCATGTAAATCAGATTAGGCCGGATTCAATTGTTACTGCCTCCTGTCATGGCTGCCATCACGTGATGGCGTAAAGCCTGTATTGGTCGTTAATGACCTCTAGCCCTGAAAATCCAGTTTAGTCCAAATTTGTCCAAAGCAACGAAATGAATTATATACTTTTTAACCATCATATTCTTAAAGCAATCTTTTTAGTTTCAATGTAAAACCCAATGTCAATGTCAAAAAAATAATGTTGTATTTGCAATTTCAGGTTTGCGCACCTGCTTGTAGTGACATCTGCTGTGGTTTCGGGGAGTTTTCCAGTACATATAATGGAATTCCAGACCATGATAGCCACCCTGGCCTTCAACCAAATATCCCCTACCCAAAACAAAAAGCAATACCAGGCAATGCTTATATGTGTGACGAGAATTGCAAATTCAACTGCGCCCAAAGCTGCTCTGCTGATTGTTGTCAGCCAGAAGGAGTAACCGCTCGCGATGCTCGATTGCAAGAAGGACCATACCTTTATGGTCCTCCTCCTCCTCCACAACCAGCCATGGGATATCAACCTGCTATTCAAACCATTGACGAACCTGGTGTCTGTCCAAGTCCTTGTCCAGATTCCTGTCTACCAGTATGTAATGTCGCTTGCTGTGCTTCTGCGCTTGGACTTCCTCAAGCTGACAGTGGTACTGACAGCAATGCTGAGGCACGTTCTTCTACACGAAGAGTCATCCACATTAAACACGTAATTCATCCTCTTCAGAGAAAAGAAACCGTCCCAAGATCGTGTCCAGCTTACTGTGGAACACACTGCACGCCAATGTGTGCAAGGTCTGGATGCTGTGCTTGATTGCACCATAAGAATAAACTGAAAATGAAATGATGTACAAATCAATGTCTTTTGTCACTTTATGCCAGGTAATCCGAAAAGTGGTACATTGCATTTGAAATTCACACCGTCATTCAAAGCTCGATTTTTTTGTTTTATCTGGTCTTTAAATTCGTTTCCATTGAGGAATTCTAATTTTTTGATACGAGCAGGATTACCTCTAATGGAGCGACTAAAGAATATGGTAATGATAGACACGTAGACGCCACTGTAACTCATAAGTTTCAGGAAAAAAACTGATCCTCATACCCAGAACGGGCCGGGTTTCTTGCTAGGAATTCTATGAGAAAAATTCTCTTCGCTTACATTCAAATGTTTAATCGGAGAATAATCGGAGGGGTAGGGCGTATTACTCAAAAATACGCATCTTTGAACAACCAAGTTTTTTTCTGAAGTTTGAACGTCCAAAATCATGAAGTTTCGTTTTAGCCAAGCTAGTGTTGAATTATTAAATAGGTTCATAGGTTTAAAGACATGGTTGGAAATTCAAATACTTTAGTGCAATAGCTAACACTTAAGTGATGCCGATTAAAGAACTTATCGTACGATAACATTTCAACTTGAGTCACTCATGGTGTTAAGGTCAAACAGATACGCAATACAAAGAGTATAGAATGGTTGTAAATTTGTAATTGTTAGTTGGGATAAGATAATTAGATCTGATATTGTACAATCTGTGTTATATAAACATGAACATCGAAATAAATGTTGTTTTTTTAAGTGTCAGTGTACATGTTTGAGATTTTTTCAAGCTTGTTGAATAATCATTGGTAGTCTGAGGTTAAATATGCGATTTTTAAATAAACATTATCAATACTTCCACTTCCGAGATATGCTTCGATTGTCACGCACAAAGAGTTCATTATGAGGCTACGTGCTAAATGCTCAGTCATTCGTGACAGGCGGTAAGAATAATATAATTTAGCACGTAGCCTCATACTGAAACCTTTGTGCGCGACAATCGAAGCATATCTCGGAGGTGGGCTATTAGAGAGGACGACACGTGATCGACTGTCGTCACGACTGATAAATATGTTTAACTTCTCCACTTTACGTGGTCATGCAAGTCAAAGATCTAACCACTTACAAATATTTTTAGAGCAAGCAAAGGGTTTTGCTTGGTCCCAGCTAAAGCCCACGACCTCCCAGCGAAAAATTATGTAACAGTCGAAGGACCATTAGGATTTATAAGTCAACGGCAATTATCTCCAGTTTCTGTAGCGGATACAGCTACTGACTGTCATTACACCCGCTAGATGGTAGGCTAGTCCATAGCTAAAATGCGGGTTACCTTGAGCATCTTGCGCGAATAATTATCCAGGATATCTATTTATAGCCCCTGGGGTATAGAGATACTGTACTGTGAAAAATCAAATTCCGCTACAATAGCGTAACTGCTGCCCACCGGACTCGAACTCTCAGTATATAAATCAGTCCGACGTACTAGCTCTTGAAGTATTTATCGGCAAAACAATAAATACTATTAAATAAGCAAACCATTCTATGTTAAAACGTATATAGTAGTACACGAGTAGTAAATTAGGCTGAATCCGCCTTGACATCGTATTGCATACTGTACATACTTGTACATCATATTGCATACTGTTAGAAATTCAAAAACCTAAGATATTTCTTATTCTTTTCTTCCTTTATTGCCAGTTTTCCCATGAATTGGGAATTGTTTTGTCGTTTAGTTTTATCAACGAAAAATATTTAAAACTGTTTACTGGGCATATCTTTCCATTGTATCAATAGACGCACAAACCTGTAACAGTTGAATATAGATCACGCTACAATCTCCTAATGCATAACAAGGATTATACTACAAACACATTGTCTCCAGTCAAATCTAGTATACCAAAGATTTTCTTCAGTGGCATTGACAAGCCTGCACTTGCAAGTGTCTTCAAGCCATTGAAAATCGAATGCATATATATGTCCAATGATTTTTTTTAATGACATTATGGGCGGGAAAATATGAATAATGTTTTCCTAGGGAACATGTAATTAATATTATATTGCTTCAAAATACTATAAGCTACTATAAAAAGATTGATGAAACTAATTCGAGCGTCGATGGGTACTACGTATGCGGGGTAGGTTGAAGAACCGTCACTAAAACCGACTAATTTTGAAAACGTTGGGTGCAATCCAAGGCCAACTCCGACGAAACTCAATCATTCCAAGTTTAGTTTACCAATTTTCCACATTGTTTTAGCTCTTAGAATAATCACTTCAAGACTAAGTTTAACGCGAAACGTGGTCAGAGACACTAGAGACCTTTCCAACGGGTCACAGCAAGTGGCTAATAGAAAAAGTATAGCAAGTGTTTTGTAAACAATCTTGAGAAATGTCATTGGTTTCTAAGCGTCTTTTACCACCAAGATTTTGATTCGAGTGCAAGTCAACAACCAGTTAAGAACAAAAGATTGTCAATAAATAATGAGAATTACTAGAACAAAGGCTAGTTGAGAGTCGCCATCGGGTCAATGCAACTCAAGGGAAATTAAGGGAGAAAGAAGATTAGAACATAATAGATAAAGCATCAGGTAAGCATTAGTTTCATTAAATACTACAGGTTATATAATATCACAATAAATATATGTTACTGATGATTACTGATGATATCGGAAAATGAAAAATATTCTTGAAAAACCAAAAGAAAATGATCTTATTGAACGCTGCTATGAGTTCGTCTGTAGTGTTTCCAGTCAATAATAGATACCTTTTTATAAAGCCCTTWAAAAAAAGAAAAAAAGAAACTGTTATAATCTGATGATCAAAACACTGGTATGGTGTTTCAGATTACGAACATGTATAATATATAGATGATCGCGTTTTTTTTCACTTACTAATTCAAAAGCAGTATATAGAGGCGTTGAAGTTTAATTCTATCGTCTATGGTTTGCACATACCAATAAATAGAAACGCCAGTCTTAGTACCAACTTATATGATGTTCAGTTCTAGTATCTATACTTATCTATTTTGAGAACAAAGCCATGACCATATCAGTCATAATTACACTATTGGATGAGCCTTTGACTTTGTAAAGCTATATTTATTGTAAATAATGGTTATCAAAATCTTCTATCCATGTATGTATTCATATGCTATTCATATTGTTTGTGTGTAAGTCATAACGTCAGCTGTGTATATTACACGGGGATCAACCCAAAATCTTATATTCCTTGTGTAAATATTCAATCGATAACTGGCAAGTTTGTAAAGAATCCTAAGAACTCATTTCATATCAATACTATAGGAAGTTATTTCGCAAATTTCATTGGAATTCTTCAGTAGTATGAAAATTGGAGATTACAAATATTAAAGCGCATCAAAAAAATGCAAGATGTTGATTTATTCCTTGAAATGGATTGACTTAGTCTCACCTATTTTCCAGTCCTAGGCCTCCCACGTTTCAGGGTGCTCCGCAGCCCCTGTGTTCACTCTGACTGGTAGTTTAAAGCCAGGCGTCCGATCGCATTTAGAGAGCTCGAGGTTCAAAAAGCAAATGTCGCCTGTTCATAGACATCTAACACTAAAGTCGAAAAGCTGTCTTAATGAATGTTGCCTTTGTATAAAATGGAAATCTTTAAACCCCAAAAGTAAAAAAAGGGCTCGTGTGCAAGCAACTTATAATGCAAGACAGTACTAAGATTATCTTGCAAAATAGTCCCTATACTAATAGTATGAAATAGTCGATTATCGATTGTTTGTCTATTGTTTTTAGCACGAATAACTAAAGCTACTTATATATTACAGTATCACAGAAATAGTGTTTAAACTCTTCTTGATTATCAAAATTTGTTTATTTTTCTAAACAGCAAAAAGAAACAAGATGGATAAAAAAGTACTTGTGTTATTTGTTCTCGTAACTTTAGCTGTAATTCTTTCCACATGCGAAGCCAAGTCTACAAAACACACTAGTAAGTACATATAATCCTTAGTTTCTTCTAGTATTTATGGTTTATTATTAAAAGAAAGTTGAGCTTCGTTTTACATTAGGTGATTTTGTTTGCTTTTGCAGAGAAAACAAAGAAAGTTGTTGCAGCAAAGTCAAGTATCAAAGCTGACGCTAAGCCAAAAACAGCTAAGAAAAAGGAGGAGCCAAAAGAAAAAGAAGGTAGATATTAAAAAATAATAGCTATTAAAAAGCATTAATATTAGTTTCAGTTTTAAGGTAGTCAAAAAGAGAGGATTGCCCAAAGCGTAAGAGTAACCATGCACGAGAACAATATAATCCATAATCCAGCCGTCTCCATTACCTTGTGATCAGGAATCAAAATTGCTCAACCTAAACTTTGACCGAATCTGCGCAAATTCCATCAAAGGAATTCGAATCTCAACCTTCTTTTCTAAGATATGCTGAAATCTTCAGTATAAAGGAAATCTTTTAATTAACATATGTTTCAGATGCTGATGACAAGGAAAGCAAAAAGGTCAACGATATTACGAAAGAACAAAATGGTATGCTAAAGAAAAAACAAGTGTAAAAAATTGTATACACTTTTTCCTGAAATGTCCTTTAAAGGAAGGTACGCGTTTTAATGGGGAGGGGGGGGGGGGAGGGTCTAAACCTTTTTGAAAGGCTTGCTGAATTGATAGGAGGATTATGAACTTTTTTAAGGAGCTATAGGTTACTACGAATCCCCTATCTCCCCCTCCCCCCAAAATAAAAAAACGTAGCTTCCCTAATAGCAATAATGCAAATGTAACGCGCGAATCTCATGGCGTAGTGCTCGAAAGCGAGAGATAAATATCAAATACTAAAATATGAAAACTAGTAAAAACTATTAAAAGACCAAAAGACCAGTCATTGTACGGTTTCCGTCTAAGCTAGCATATGATTAAAACTGATAGCGTTTTAATTTAAAATGTCATCACGTTTGATTAATATTAAGCTCATCTTGGACAGCTAAGGGTTTGTAGCTATTGACTGATCAAAACTTGAATCGATCATCTGATAAACTTGCAGATGATCCAGATCAAGAAGACGATGATGACGATGCGGATGATGATATTGATCAGGACAAGAAAAAGGAGCAGGAAAAATCTCAAGACAAACCACACAAGAAACCTGCAAAGAAGACGACCAAGTCAAAGAAAAAGGAAAAGAAGCAAAAGGATCAAAAAGAAGGTTAGTTCAACTACTATTCAAGTCTTTGTGTATTGTATTAGAATCTAATTATAGTTTGATTTTTCAGAGATCTAGACAAAAAAGCGAGTTTCCTTTCAAAGTACAAACCGAGTGAGAATGTTGTTGAGCCGAAATACTGTAATGTTGAACCGGCCTTAGTCTTAACCTATTTATAGAAAGTTGTACAGAACTAAACAAATAACATAAAATTTGATTTTCAGACGAAACTCTACGCAGTTTGCTCGATTCAAGCATCGGTAAGAAATTGTTTGTATGACATTAATGAAGAAAATAAAGAAACAAAGTAATAAAGAACGAATAAATGGATGAAAGTCAATAAACGCTGTGTATAATATTTGTTTTCTCATATGGTTCTCGTGGGAAGGTAAAAAATATATTCTTCGAATGAGTATATATGTGAAACGGACTGGGTGATCTCAAGTTTACTCCAGCCCATATAGAACTCGTGTTCTAAAAGCGCATTATGACAGCTTTCGTATACCATTTATTGTCCTAGATAACCTAGCACAAGCAGGGAAAGCCATCCAAGCAATTCTCGATGTCACCGTCAAGTCTACTCGTAAGTCATTGAATCACTATCACCTGTTTATGCAACTGTCCAAGGTTGCTTGTGTCAAGAGGTCAATATATTGCCTTTAATAAATCATTTCGGATTTCTTCTGAATTTCTTCTCATATTATACTTCTTTAATTTCAAATGACCAGCGATGGTACAAGTTAGCACCACCGATGCTACGAAAGCAAATGACATCCTTTTGTACCGCACGTTTTCACCTTCCAAAAAAATTTCGAAAAAAAAAATGTCTTATACAGTTCATGCAGCACCTAGTATTGTGTTTTAAACTAAATAATGTATTCTTCCCGCAAAGCACCTCCAGCTGCACCTCCAGCTGCTCCACAATCATGCTTTGGAAGCTGTCCTGATATTTGTGCTCCTTCCTGTACCTCATCATGCTGCGCATTTCCGCCTATGGAGCCTTCTCCACCAGGTCCGTACCAAGTACCATACAGAGCAGGATACCCCAGCTACTCTTCCCCTCCTGAATACCCTCCACGGTACCCACAGCAGTATCCTCAATCCATGCCATATGGAGCTCAAAGTCAGTGTCCTCAACAGTGTACTGCACTTCCACCTCAGTCTCCTTGTCCCTCTGCTTGTCCTTCAGGTATATGTATTTGCTGATTACCAACTTTTCGATTCTTATATAGTCTTTTAGTATCAAAAGACTTGTGAAATAATACTATTACTAATCATGTGTGGTGGTAGCACTATCGTTCTATTGGTGATAGTCAAATAGCCAGAAGAGACAAAGGAGAGGAATATCAAAATAGTGTTTTTTTAGCTTGTTGATCCAGTTTTGGCAAATTGTTCACCCAAGGTTTCAGGATTTTTCTAGCTATTTTGATACTGAAGAAATAAGTAAGAACTCTGGGCACGAGTAAAATAATTAGTAGCAATTTCGTAGCCAATTTTTCTACTAGGGTTAAAATTAAATATTTTGAATGCATATATTGTATGTTGTTTGTGTTTGCTAGTATCTAGCACTAGGTTTAGAAAACTTTACTCTGTTGCTTTACCCTGTCTCTTTTCTCTCCTGCTGCAAATAGGATGTTGTGGAGCTCAGGCAAGTGCACCTATACCAGGGCCTCAATACCTTCTTCTTGCTCCAAAACCAACAACACCAAAACCAACTAACGCTCCAGCTCAGAGCCAATCATCAAATGGTCAGTGCCAGGCTCCATGCCCGCAAACTTGTGCACCACTTGGATGCAGCTCAAGCTGTTGCCAGGCAACGATGCAACAACCAATGATGCCACAACCAATGATGCCACAACAAATGATGCCACCGATGATGCCACAGATGCAGATGCCACAGATGAGTGGCTGTCCATCATACTGTAACCAAGCTTCTCAGTCAATGGGCTGCCAAAGACGATGTCCAAGCCAATGCTGCAGAAGAAATTAACAAATCCAGACTTTCTATGGATATCATAGTCTCGGTAGTGCATAAGGAAAACCTTTTTAATATAAAAGTTAATTTAAAATGAAGAATACGGGGAACGTTATTTGTTTATATATATGAATGTTTTGATTATAGAATATTTTATTTGAACGAACTGAAACTACAACTACTATAATTGTTCATGAATCGAGAAAAATTTCCAAAGGCAAAAAAGTGAAAATGTGAATTAACTTTTTCTTGTTATCTTTATGGTTCAAGTCCTCTGTATTACAATACATCACAATCATAGCTCATATCAGTACTTTAAAACTATAAAAGTTTTGTATCATAAAACTTTACCAGGTTGCATTTACCAGGTTGTCATGAAATTTCCACGTAATGTCGTCATACAAATTCAAAACAAGAGAAAAATATGTAATTGGGATTTATTGCAACTTTTGACAACGATCTCTCAAATCTCCTTGGATTCAACACACTCTACTCTTGACATTTTGAACAGTTGTAAATTTTAGAAGACCCCTGGAATTACTCGTGGCGTCTACCTGATCTCCAAGGTCTACCAAGAATTTTTTCAAAAGTCTGAGCTTCAAAAAAAAATTAAAATGCTGCGGCCCATTAGGGCATTCAGCTTCAAATTTAGATACCATTTTGCAATACAAAGTCATTCAAAGCCGGTTTTACCTCGCAATAGAGATTGTTTGTACTTTAAAAAAGATAGATTAAATTGTAACAAAAAAGAAATTACTTGTGTCTTTATTTTCAAAGAGTTTATGCTAGAGGGGAAAAAGAAAAAGAAAAAGAAAAAGAAGAAACATCTTAAAAAACCCACTCAACTGGAAATATATCTACGTTTTTCCAGTTTCAATTTATTGCATGACTTTTAACGCAAGCAACCAACAGCAACATAACAAACAAAGTTTATTGACCATGATAAGCGTACAGTATACAACCTGGCAATAACTTTTACAAGCTATAAATAAACAAGGAAATTGAATTTGATTAAATTAGACTGTGTTAGTCAAAAGGTTGGAGTTTGCAATTGGAAAAATCACCAGGCGAATGAAGAAAAAAATTCAATTAGGTCATCATTAGGGGGACTTGATTTGTTTTGTTAAGGTTTCTTGGTTGTTTTATTGTGTCACTGACATTTCTCCAACACGACTGTTGATTCTGTTTACATTTTGATCGTTATGTATTGCGGTAAATTAAATCAAGGAAATTAACTTTAAAATATCACACATGCCTATATTTCAAAACAGGTTAATCTCGTGTTTCAAGATGATAGTAAAGGGAGGTATTATTTCGTATACTATTTTATATATAATATAATCCAGGAAGAACCATTCCAACACTTTAGATATGACTAATTGTAGAAAAAATGTTGTTATTCTAGATCTGACACTGTGAATAGCAACATTAAACTCTGAACGATCAACGTGATATAGGTTCACTTTAAGAGTTTCGTGCAATTAACAAACGTTCTTCTATTGCCTTGAGAATATATACCCATGTGCAATATAGTCCAGATTACTGCCGTGAGAAAAAATTAAGATTTCAACTAACATTTAGAGTATACGATTTTTATTATCTTTCTAAGTGTGAATCTTTCAGTTCAGAGTTACGTATGGTGTGAAAAAGACATGTTTTTGCAACATAGTGATTCCTGACACAATTATCTGATGGGCCAGAACGGTAACCGGTAAAACTTGTATGTGTGCATATATATACAAGATCAGCAGTAGCACTACATCTAATACCATACTACGAACCATATTGAAGTAGCAACAGTTCGACTTCTGAGGAAAAGGTAAGGGCGTTCTCATGAAACGCTATCTCATTCTCAATCATTCGATAAGTATCTTAGTTGTGATTCATTGAGACATTTTGAATGAAACTTTAACTTAAAAATGCTTTTAATCTTCATTTTAAAATTTGACTTTTAGTGACTATTCAGGTTATGTATTAAGCTTTTAACGGCGTAAAACTGAGTAACTGAAAAAGATTTAAATATTCTATTTACTTACAAATTTCAACACTACATTGTTTTCCTAGTTACCTATTTTAAGAGTTTTTCAGTTTTAAAACCGAAAAAAGAATTTTAATATTTTATTTACTTACAAATTTTAATACTAAATTGTTTTTACAGTTAGAATTTTTTCAGTACTAAAACCAGTAGTCATCGTTGATGTTGTTCAATCTAACGCTCTAAAATCTTGGGATAGCTAATTGTCATTTATACTTATTTTAGTAGAATTCAGTTCGCAGATAAAGTTGTGTTCTGTTAGAAAAGACGCGTTGTTTTGAGTGAGAAGATGGCGCGTCAGAAAAAAATCAAAATCAAACCAAGCTGTGAACTGAAGAATTTTTAAGGTGCTTCTTAATAGCCACACAACTGTCATACACAGTGCCCGCGTAACTATTATCCCATATAAGCTCAACTTCTGTTCTTAAGATCTCGGTTAAAACTCGCAAGGCAGAGCTAGATGTTCACTTTTTGCGCAATTATTTGCCAATCGTTTAACGTTAATAAATAACTGACGATAGCAGCCGCACTGCCGATAAAATTATTGAACTTAAAGTTGTCGTTATTTTATCAAGATATCTCATGTAACCTATAAATGATTGATAATAGTCAAATAATTAACAACATTTTCTTTTGTATTTGCCAGGAAAGATGACCAAGATGATTATCTTAGCGTTATGTGTACTTCCACTTGTTTTTGGAGCTCCAGCAGCTCGTAAGTCTACTTGTATTTTTAAACAGAACAATATCTATTCTATTTCTCTAATGAAATCCTTTTTAACATGAAACTATTTTTTCCTGTCATCCAATATGGTTGCCGTCCGCGTGGTCGGTGTCAAATCCAAATTGACTCTAGCATAATAGACCTCTATAGCTTCGTATGCAAATAGCCCATTTCAGATCGCATGACTTTTCCTTGAGAATCGTTCTTTTATGACGAACATGTTAAAATATTAAGATATGAAAGAATCAACTCCCAAGAGTTACATCACATTGTCTGAAATGTGCACAACAAACAAGTAAAGAGGTCTATTAGTTGCACACTTAAAAGATGGGACAGTAAGATATAACATTAGTTTTAACCTTTTGGTAAATCTCATGTGAACACATTAACTACCTTGATAATCAAATCTTGAAGCAATATCCAAAATGATTTGCGTGTTCCGTTCTGAAGGTTCTATTCCATTTTGCATATCTTAAATTCCAAATGTCAAGAGACGAAATTGTCACTACAACCAAGGGCGGCAAAAGCTGAAAATCTTTGGGGGGGGGGGGGGCATTGCAAAAAATCACAACATTAACTTCTTAACAGTAATAAAAATAGTATATGTGCATTTTGTGCATTGAACCGATATTTTGTGGGGGCCAGCCACCCCCCCCCCCCCAAAAAACCCAACCATTTCGTGGGTCCCCCGGTTCCGCCGCCCCTAACAAAACAAGCTATCAAACAATCCAACTAAGTACATTACTGAGAATGATTATGTATCTATATATCTATTTATGTATCTTAACTTATCATTTGTCCAAAACAAACAGCTCCTCGTAAGCAGCCTCAAAGAACTCTTGTCTACAATAGACCAGGCTATGGATCTCCATATGGAACCGCCTACCAACGACCTTATGCCAGCCCCTACCAACATTCTTATGGCAGTCCCTACCAGCAAGCCTATGGCAGTCCCTACCAGCAAGCTTATGGCAGTCCCTACCAGGCTATGGGAGCTCCATGTGGACAATTCGGCACCCCATGTAACCAACCCATGCAAATGCCATACCCTCAAATGCCCATTCAACAACCCTATGGCTCACCATACGGAGCATCTTGCTCTCCTATGTGTGCAAGTGCCCCAGTAGCTTATCAGGCTCTATGCTGCAAACGTTCCAAAAAAGATTAAAAGAACAATAACATCGTCTGCTCCTAATGGTCAACACTTAGCATGCATCCATAGAATGTGCACAAAGCGAGGACAAGAGTAAATCTATCAGGGCTTAGGAACTGACCAAGTGCATCTATAACTCAATGTATTCACGCTCAATGTTGACTAATGATTTCTTTTACAATGTACATAGAATACACACGCTAGATAATGAGAATGACACTAAACAAAATCATCCGAAATCATTGCTTAAAATTGGTCAATACACATTTAGAAAAAGTTGAATTTCAATGACTATTTCCAATGGGAAAATAAAATTAACTTTCAAACGTTGTTGATGTTTTTATGTTTGCCGTTTTTATTTCGGCTTTTGTTAATTGATTGGGGATGAATTGTCAAATTGAAATTAGGGATAAAAAAACAAGACGCACTATAGGCGTTCACTGGGTTGCCTGTATCGTGACACAGAGGCCTCGTTGCAATGTTAGTCAAAAGATAATGGGATGGTTCACAGAAAATAATGATTTCGTTTAACTCGTCTAAGACGATCTTCTCCCTTAAGGTGTTCGCTACATACTATTAAAATAATTGCATGTTCCGCCCTTTTTTAGGCTATGAAATAAATGAAATAAATATACAGCCTCATAAGTAGCCGACTAGGAATAAATCTTTTTTCACTAAAAAAATGTCCTTACTATTGAAAATTTATATCTAATAAAAAATGGATTTAAAAAAATAAGAAAAATCTTATCGGTGGATAAGATGGGATTCGAACCCACCAAAAGAAAATCAAAAAATCGATCCCACTGTGCCATACCCCCGAGACATCCGGAGAGCTGGGGCGGCGTATGGACTTCGGACCTGACGGCGATTAAATCCTTCTGCCCTTGGGTGTACGAATTACGCAAGAAAATGTTCTAGCCGAAGCATCAGGGGAGAGACCAGCCGGCCCCCAGACCATATCGGCTGACCCCTTGCATCTCTGCCACGCACGGAATCGGTTGACAATATAATGTTAAAAAGTCTAGTCTATTCGGTGCATTGTGTTTACAGCTATTGTTATGCTGATTAAACTGGAACCGTGGTCCAATGGATAAATCGTTGTCGTTCAAGATACTGAGTCAAGCTCGTTTGCGGAGGGTTCGCATTCGGATGGGTGACCTAAACATTATACCTACTCACGCTTTTGCTTCTTTTTACGTTTTATAGAATAGTGAAACTTTTCTATTTTTGAGTAACATATTTCTGTTTACCATTCTTATGTCTCATTATTTTATGCGCTGGATTTTACTGACTCTAGTTTGGTACCATTTGGGTGCCTATGCACAAACTGACACATGGTAAGAGGTATTGATGCAGCAGAATGTGTGAAAACATGTATAGTCAACTTATCACGTTGGTCGAACTTATCCTAAGTGAATTGTCCTATCAATATTTTCAAAACTAGAGTAAGAGCCCAAAGTATCCAATCTAAACATGTTTTAAAATCATCTGTCAATCCTTTCTATTACATTGCAAGGGCAAGTACAAGTTTAGCAGGTCCATTTTCATCCACTAAAGTTACAGGTTGTTATCTCTACAAGCGAAGTTTTTTTAAAACGTTAGGTCCGTAGAGAGGGAAGAAGGAGAGCAAAGCACGATTTCCTTGCTCAGCGATCACCTAGTTATGAGATGAAACGTCAATCACTCTTTGGTCGCGGGCTATAGTACATTCATGTTATTTCCAGTTTCAAGAAAACGACTCAGCATATCTAAGGCATGGCTAATTGAGTAATATAGCAAAAAAATAAAGAAAAATTTATAAAAAGATATTGAATGGGTGTATGCTGATGATTGTTGCCAAGATAATAGGTTTCGGTACTGGCTACAGTTTGAAAGTGTAATCATTTATTTTAAGTGATCACKTGACGAAATATTACCATATTTGGTGTGATAATCGACAATTGATTTTCATTTGCTTTGAGTAAATTCTTTACAGCTAAAAGTCGTTGCCTTTTGACATTTGTTCTATCCCTAAAGGATATAAGTTTAAAAACCTAACTGGAAAAGTGATTTTTTTTCAACACTAAACATATAATATTTTTTTGAAAAATCATTTTTGAACATTTTAAATGACTATTCAAGTTGCAATTACTTTTTTCAAAACTTTTAGCAGAGATATTACAATTTTCCAGTTAGATTCTGATTAGCAATAAATAGTAGAGCTAAATTAGCTACAAAAGAAAAACCAAGAAGAAGTTTAAGTCTTTACTCAAGAGCGATAAAGTTATTTCAGTTTTACAAAGAAATCGAAGACAGGCTCGGGTACAAAGGTCCAGCGGTTTTCACGTTTTCATGATGAAATACCTTGTTTATAACTGCACAGCCCTTGTAAGTAGATATCTACAGTTMATAGGAAAACAGTCAGATTGATATGTACATAAGATATAGACTCAAATAAGGCCTCGACTTAATTCTTTGATATGCAAAGAACTAAAGACTTAATTAGAAATGACTCTTGCAAATAATTGTAAATAGATAACTAAAGCTCATAGGAGAACAGTCAGATGGACATGTAAATAAGATATGGGATCAAATAAGGCTTTAACTTAAGTATTCTTTAGTATACAAGGCACATTTAGAAAGCGTTTAGCTTTCAATCTTGCAAAAGAATAATAACTCAGTTTTAAATTAAATACCAGTATTYAAGATTATGAATACATTAGCGAATTGTAATAAAACTCTTACCTCTAAAGCTTGGCATTAAAGATACCGAGTAACGACTATTACACATTGTAAATGTAAAAAGATCGCGTCCCTTCTTCAACCGGTTGCCATTTTTAATTCAAATTCGCATGCGTTGTCAGAGAAACCTAGCGCCCAGTCCTTTTAGGTCGCAAACTTCGCGGGGGTCTAAATGTCGTTCGATAGCCATGCCTTAGATATACTGAGGAGCTTGAAATGGATTCTTAAGTATAGGGTAAACAGTGAAACAAATAATCTTGTGGTATATATTGTGTATAGAACTTTTTGTATAGTCATCGTTACTGTGTCACTTTATATACAAATATTTTACAAATATTGTACAAATATTATACATATATATATATATCCATTTCTGATGGTACAGCTAAAATTGATGAAGATTGGTGATGAAGAAGAAGAAATCTACCGAATTTTACCGAGACTGATATCTGACAGTTAGTACGTGGGGAACCGGTACGTTTTCCTCAGTAAATTCAATCGCTAGAAACACTCTCCCAAAGATCCAACCAACCAAAACTGTTTGTTTGTAACCAATGTTATGCGGCTAATACCAAACATCTGATGAATAACTCATACCATCACCCATCTAGGTCTAGTAATCTAGTAATCTTCATTTGTCTACATATCACGTGACATTTCACGCAGGCGCGCTGATTGAGTTCTTATGTCACCACATTATTATGGATTTCCTTCACATGTGACATAATGTTTTGCGTATCATCACTATTCATCAGCTGTTGTTTTTCATAACATTCCTAGTGTTTTCTTGTCGTACAGGCTGTTTATTACAGGTACCTTCCTACTCGCCGCTTGCTCATTCGCCCTCATAACAAAATATTGACCATTTTTCTCAGCCGTACTTAGATTTCCATTTAGAAACAAACATTTCGTGTTCAAATTTATAATCAAATAAAATCAAAAGCGAAGTGTCGAAATGTTTGTGAAAAGACGTTTTGTTTGAACGTCCCAACGGAAGAAACAACCCTTAGAAAAGTTTTTGGGAATAGTTTTCATAAGTTAACCTTATTATTATGTTAACCTTTGATGTAATCAAGTCTAAAAATTCCGGTAATAAAAACTAACTCATAAAGAGAAAAATAGTAGTGAATGAATGGAGAAGAAATAAAGAAAGAACATTTTCATTATTCATTGTATCAAGTAGTTGATTCAGTACTCTTCTGTTGACGATGAATAGAAGTAACGAAGTACAGGTACATATATCTAAAAACCAAAACAAAATGTGATGACAAAGGAAACGTTTGAATCAAGTATTAATAAATAAAATAATGACCTAATTTCTGGAGTAGGCTACCTAGATCTATTCCTTTTAGTGTAGTATTGGTGTCCACCGGAAAGAGTTGTATTTACTAACTCTCTTGAAGACTAAAAAAGGGGTAAATATAACCTTCCTTGTTAATTAACAACTAAATTACAATTGCACAATTTAAAGCAGGAATAAGGTTTTAAAACACAGGCATTTGATATTACTTGTTTGGAATAATGAGAAATGTTTCATCAAGTTGGACTGATGATTCTATTTCAATGTACTCTATATTGTAGACCTTTGCCCTTTTTTATTCGTTATTTTTATTATTTTTAAAGATATAGTGTGGATAAAGTCTAAATGAATCTTTTTCTGCTAGAGAATGAATGTCTTTGTTCTTATTAATTTTTTGCTTTTGGTGGTTTTCAGGAAAGGTTTACAATGAAGGCGTTACTGGTGATTTGCGCTTTGCTGATATGTGTTCATGGAAAATCAGGTAGAATGAATTATAAGACAAACCATCGCAAGGGTTTAAACGATTAGCCATAATGATACAGTTTGAAGATGTCAATTGAAACTAAATATTTTTTTGATTATGACAAAAGATGTCAGATGGTCACTGCATTTAACATTGATAAAATAAAGTGATCAAAAAAATGTGATTAAAATTTTATATAAGGAAGGCATTTTACAGCTTGTTTGTGGCTGGACTCAGCCGATTAGTGTTTTAGAGCCATAAATTGTTTTATCAGTTTTTTTATATGATGGTGACACATATACGACTTTATAAACAATCAACGTTTGATAATAAGCTTCCCACGGGGCCCAAACCAAACTTGATTGATTCTTAAAGCAAAATTTTGTTTTTTTATTTAACTAATAACATTATTATCTGGCAAGCTAGAAGAGCCCAATGAGAATTTTGTATAAATGCATTAAATGTTAGAAATGTCTAGCTTCATCTGAAAAGCTCCTCAACTGTTGAGACGGCTAACTTTTGTTAAAATAAGCATCATAAATGAAGAGTAATGCATTTGTTATCTCTTTCTTAAAAGTGAAACAAAGTAAACATAAAGGAGAAAGCAGAGAGAAGGACGCCCGATATCCCGGACCGCAGGGATTCGGGCAACGACCAGGATATGGACAACAACAACGATATGGACAAAGACCCGCCTTCGGGCAACAACAACGATATGGACAAAGACCAGCCTTCGGGCAACAACAACGATACGGTCAGAGATTCGGACAACAGCCCGGACAGAGACCAGCCCACGGAGCAGCACCACAGGCACCTCCTTCAGCACTTAGACAAACAACATATGGAGCTCCTCAATTTGGTGCCCAATACGGACCCCCACCACCACAACAATATGGATCTCTTTTCGGCGCTCCTATCAGCTATGGTGGGCCACCAATGCCATTTGCACCATCTTCTCCATGTGCACCATCATGTGCAAGCATTCCACCAGCATCACCTTGCCCACCCACTTGTCAACCAAGCTGCTGTGGTGTGAACCCTGGAGCTCTTAGTCAATCCGGTGTTCCAGGACCTCAATTTCTTGAAATACCACCAGCTGTTACAGTCCCTACTCCTCCCCCAACCAAACCAACAAAGAAGCCCAAGAAGGGTAAATCCAAAGGCTGTGCTCCAAGCTGCGCCCCAATGTGCTGTAGCTCATCTTTCATGGCTCCACCAATTCAAATGCCTCCAATGCCAATGCCTCCACCGATGCCCATGGCTCCACCAATGCCAATGGCACCACCGTGTCCTCCATCTTGTCAACCAGCTGCTCCAGCAGCTCCTTGTGCTCCATCATGCCCTGCCACTTGTTGCAGGCGCGGTTAAACACGTTCGCTTACAATAATTATATATTCAACAATGCTGTTTGGATTTTTGAACTTTACAATTTTGTCTTTGATTGGCTTTTGTTGGAAAAGGAAATTCTGATTTGATTATCGACCACAAAAAATTACGAAAGTATGGAAACAAGAAGTCTTTGTTAACTAACAAAAAGAAGGAACAAGGATTATTAAAACCCCATCGAAGACATTGACAGGTGGACCTTTATTGCATGGCTCAGATGTGGACATCTCTAATGATTTTTGTTTCATTATATGTCATCGGGTTTGGACTAACTACATGGTTTTACTCTGTTTTTAAAGCTTAACGGAAGCAAATAAACGTTTGGGCAATTGATTCTTCTTTTTTTTAGACTTTTAAATTGCTTATTGTCCAATTCTTGAAGACTACCCATGGAAAGGGCTAAACTCCATGTAGCGCTTGCAACATTCCTTGGAGCAACAATCCGACTCAAGACTAAATCAAGCTTACAAAGACTGCCTGCAATCCAAACTCTGGTTAAACTTTTCGCTCAAGGAGATTTCCTTAATTTAGCATTAACCTTCTTTTTAGTTACAAATAGATTTAGGTTTTACTTGAATTTTCTACTTTTTTTAAAGCAATACAGTATTTCTACGAGAATTTACTAATATTAATAGTAAACCATGTAAGGCAACATGTAACTCTCTTTTTTTACGAGATATTGAACAACTCTTGTGATCATATGATTGCTCAAGAGGCTGAACTCACTTATTAATGGCTTCCGTAAATTATTCAATCAAACAACCTTCTAATTTACTAATATACTTATAAATTGCTAATTACAATCATACTAATATAATAATATATCCAGAATCTGGATTCAAAATAAGATGGTGTGAAGTTATTAATGTTATCGCCGCTATGTTGGCTGACATTAACAAAAAGGTTTAAAGCTGTGATAATAACGACACGGGCAACATATCGTATAACTTATGCTTGTCACAAGTTGCAGAGCAGTACGCTCTACACCAAATAGAAGGCTGCTGCAACATAAATTCAACTAATATACTAATATACTAATATACTAATATACTAATATACTAATATACTAATATACTAATAGTAAACAGCCATTTGCGAAAATGATGGCCGCTTCGAGCATGTAATCAGTACATTACCATATCGATATATCTGGTGTATTGTGGGTAGACGGATTTATCCATTATTCCAAAAACAAAATGTTCTTAAAATACTCCTCCAAACTGTACTTTGGAAGTTGGCAATTTAAGCATCATTTTGTCAAAGTATAGAAGTAATTCCAATAGTGCACCCGGCATATTTATATAATGATATACTTTTTCTTGGTGGTTACGATTTTTGCGAACGATTGTAACTGGTATTATCACATTGTACTTTTAGATTAATGTGGACAAAGAAATTATTTTCCTAAACATTTTCTTTTATCCTTTCGTTGTGAATTTTGATTTATCTTTTTAAATATCATACGAAACTGAAGGTAATGATATTAAATAATAATTAAAAAGTTAAAAAAGCCAAAGTATTACATTATTATTCAAGTGGTTTTTATAATAACCTTTAGTGGTTTGCGCTCGTTAGTCATAACAATAAATAAATAAAAAAGGCATGGCCGCCATGTTGGATGATAAAGCAAAAGAAATCAATAGACCGTTTTCTCAAGGTTGCGTGCGCATCTAAGGCCCCGTCCACACGTATCAGGAAATTTTTGTACCCGCCATTTTTTTTTTTTTTTTTTTTTTT